TATTTTTGGGGTGAGGAAAATTAGACCCTGCTTAACCCCCTGCTTAACCCTGTTGAGTTTACGTTAACCCCTGTTCGGTCGGCCTCTGGGGGTGTCTCTTCGCGCGCTGCTGGCCCGGACTTCCGCCCCGGATTTGGGCCAGCGAGTGGAGCGTGTTTTTGGGGTGAGGAAACTCTGCTTGACCCCCTTCTTAACCATCTTACTTCACGTGAAACCCTGTTCGGTTGGTCTCTGGGGAGGGCTCTTCGCGCGCTGTTGGAGTTGAAGTGGTAGATGTAGTGCCGTCTGGGCCTACAGCCTGGAGTGTCGCCCCGGGTTTAGGTCAGCGAGTGGGTTAGAAAACCCTGCTTAGTTCCCTGCTTAATTCCGCTGAACCCCCTGACATCATCCTAAAAACACAATCCCCAAACCGTGGGTGTCCTTCTCCTGGGCTCTCCCGCATATCAGAGTAAAGTGACGATGATTTGGGGGCGAGAGAGCCCTGCTGGATCTGACATCATCCACATCATCTTGATTGAAACAAGCAGTAAACCTGTGTCCCAGTTGAGAGCCTCAAGCTTGTGAGTGAACGGCCCTCGTATTTAGCGAGTCCAACCTGAGAACTGAGAGATTCAAGCGGAAGATCTGCCTGTTGGGCTTTGGATGCGGTTTTAGGCGAGCGATTATTCTTCCGTTGGTGGGGATTCAAATGAAAACCATCAGTAGAACCCCCAAGCCCTAATCCTAGACTCAGCCCCCCTGCATGTCTGTTCCAAGTACTTGTGACCTCCATTCTGTGGCACTTGCACAGGCCTACCGTTTCCATGCAATAAGTTCACGTAAAAGACCACCTGGGCCTTAGGAGGAACAAAGCGATTGTGCTAATTAACTTGCATGGAGGTGCAGGAAAAGTGGCAAAACTCTCGACATGCTTCTCTCTCTCTGTGCAGCCTCGCCATTCCTAGTTGTTTCTCGCTGTGCCTCCAGTGGTGGGCGTACGAAACGGCGACCATCATGGCGGGCTGGCTTCCGGTAGGTCGCCTTGTACCCACTGGCAGACACCTCCGGATCCCCTCGAGTTCGACAAAGGGCTTTGTTGGAGTACTCCATCCTTGTCAAACTCAACAGTACCGTTGTCTTCGAAACAGCCGCTCATTTCAGAACAGCTGATTGTCGGGCAGATTTGGTCATCTCCGGTGCAATCTTGTAAAGCTGAGATGTAATGCTTGCTCGCGTTGCTTGCTCGCGTTGCCCGAAATTCGTTAGCATCTCGTATCTATACACAAGGTTTCAATGAAAGCGATTTGAAGTTTTGAAGTCACGGAAGCGGAGCTGGAAGCTAAGCCGAGAGCTGCTCGCTAAGTCAAATATCGTTCCGTAGCTGCGAACGAATATCGAAAAGCTAGAGTGCGGCTTTGACTTATCAAGACAGGTGGTGACGTTATAGTCTGCACAGACACACCAACGCGTAACAGCTTATCTGGGAGCTGGAGAGCAGCTTCACATCTTAAAAGCTACGCCAACGTTTAACAACGAAGTAAAGGTTGCAGCACATATGTGAAACAAAAGCAGAGACTGGCAGATTGAGCAATCAGCTTCAGTGAAATCGCCTCCTTTTCGATCTGCCGCAGAAACCCGAGTACAACCTGTCGGCGCTCTCCATCTGCTTCAACATCAACGCGGCGCTCGCGGGGGTCAATTTCGCCACTGGTACCTCTTCGAGGTAGACCCCCCTTTCGGAATGTATTCCGTCTTGTGAAGCAGCTGATTGGGTTGAGATTCAAATCAAGGAGTTCGAACGAAACGGTCCGACTGAAATCTATATATTACTGGGAAGATGGAAAAGTTTAGCTGGACAAGCAGAGGGTACAATGCGCAACAGTGGAGGTCAATTTAGACGTCTTGACCAGTGTGTGCTCAGCTCAAATTCCAACTTAGACTTATAAAATCGATGGACAATCAGTCGAACGAATGGGGCCGAAGTCCTAAGGACCCTTATGCCATCTGCTTTGAACGGCGTCGTTCGTTCTTAGACACCTTGGGTGCTGGTTGCCGCGCCATACATTAACCAGCTCTGAAGCGGGTCTGCTCTTTTAACATTGCAGAACCTACGTAGCCCAGTGGCCGACAAAGTACTGTTAGAGTGTCCACTCGTACCTGCCAAATATATAGTCTTCCATTCAACAGTCACTTTACTGGCCTAACCTTTGTTGGAACGGTTGTTTGTTTGTTTGTTTTTTTTGTTGGCTTCCTTCAACCAATCAAAACCAGGTGCGAAGGTCGCGAGGGGTCCGAGCGGTTTACTCAAGGGGTCCGCTGGTCTAGTGCGACGAAGTAGTACATCTCTTCTAGTCTTGCCATTAATCAAAGCGTTTCAGGAAATTTAATCAAAGGCCCCCGTGATGTCCGTTTGAGTTCTCTGGTATTCGAGCTCAATCACAAAAGGCCGACTGGAAACATTAGAATCGGGACTCGCCGTTTGTTACAGCGCTCAGAACGAGCTCAAATCACAACCTTCACTCGTCTTCCATTCCTCCGACCACTTTTTGACCCCGCTTCGGATCCTTGCTCTTTTCTAATGCAGCACGCGCATCGGAACGCTTATGGGCGCCAATCAGCCCCAGCTCGCGCGCGTAGCCTCGCGCGCTTTCATCTGGGTCGGGCTCGCGACCGGCCTCACCATCGGGGCCGTATACGCTATCTTCCGCGACCATCTCGTATCCCTCTTCTCGGCCGAGCCGCACATCGTCCATTTGGGCGCGCAGCTCTTCGTCGTGTGCGCGTTTTACGCGATCGCAGACGGGCCCCAGAATGTGCTCCAGGGCATCCTGCGCGGGAGTGCGCGGCACAAGGTCGTCGCGCTCTGCGTGCTCGCGGTGGAATACCCTATCGGCATCCCGGCCGCGTATATGCTCGCGTTCTGGGCGAAGCTCGGCATACGCGGGCTGTGGATCGGGTCGCTTATATCGCTCTGCGTCCAGTTCGCGGTGCTATTCGTAATTTATCTGCGGACGGATTGGGAGGAGCAGGCCGCGCGCGCGCAGAGGCAGGTCGCGGCCGCAAAGGCGGTCATGAAGAAGGCGGCCGTGGGGCCCGCCGCGGAGTCGGACGCTTCGACGCCCTTGTTGCAGTAGCGCCTGCATGTCACAACCGTCATTTATCGGCTATCCCGCTGCCTTATAGAACGTTGACGTATTCGCTTGTGGACTTCGGACGTCGGCGCTCAGATTTTAGCAGAAGGCAACGGGTGTACTTGTATGTCTTTTCACGCACACTTACTGGGACGGACCGACACTGCACGGATATCATAGCACTGGCAAAGTAGCAGTCAGTCCAGCCAAAAATGAGAAACAACCCAAACTTTGATTTGTTGTGACGCATACGTAGCGACAGTAGACTGAAGTACGGTAGCCCAGCTATCTTCCATTCTTAAAAGGCTGCGTATTAGTGACCGTTTCCGCTTCTCTATACTATGCGGCTGCCCCGGCGCGGCTAAGGCAGCCCGGCTGCGATTGGACGGCTACCGTAGAGACCGACAATAAAATAAACTGCAGTACTGTGCCAACAATCTATATATAAGAACGTCTCGCCGTCATGATCCGGTCAATGATTCACGTGCTCATGCCCAATGCCGGTTTGGCCAGCTCTTGACCGTTGCATTAAGCAACTATACATGAGTACGGTCTCCGACTTGCTAGAGCCTCGGAGCTATACAAGTTGCGTGCGCCCGGCGTATAGTCTATAAGTCTGATATGCATATGATCGAGCGATATCGTTAGTACGCGTTTTGCGTCGCCGGAGCGGCGGCTGAGCAGATTGAGCGGATGACGGCCATAGTAGTATATGTGTAATCTTGGTTTTATTCGGAGATGCATGACTCACAGTCACTCCCACCCGGCGTGGTTTACGTTACAATCTCGGATGTCCTCAAAACTGGACGTTGCTATGTGTTATACAGGACTATATATGTTGTCGGCGGACAATAAATACGCTAATTGGAAACAAGTAAATCGGACGCGAATTCACGGCCGTCTGAGTCGAGTATTTGCAAATGTATTTTCGAGTATTCGCAAATACTTCTAACAGGGGCCGCGCGCGATCTGCATCATTGAAACCGTTGCCGGGAGCAGCGAAGGATGTGATTTTGATTGACCAGTGCTAATGCATGAGCCTTCTAGGATTCTATCCTTCGTAAACGTCAGGTTTAAGTAACCATTCGTTGCGACCTGCACAACCTACGAGTCATCGTACAGTTCTGGCTTCAATGCTGCATGGACAGAAACTAGTTAGTACCGGCGTGGATGACTATTGCTTCCGAAAGCTCCTCGGAAACGTCACGCTTGCACGCCGGAGTCGTTGGAAAGAGCCCCGGGCCTAGCAAAGCCTAAAATTCCGGCCGAGTCTCAAAGGCAAACATTCGTGCCACGGTGCCTGTCAGGTCAGCTTTACCTGTTGTTACGTCATCCCGACGTTTTTCCTACCTCGAATCCTACTTTTGCGAACGGAGTGCATTCCACGTACGTCGATGCTTATTAAGGGTAGTTTCTGTCAAGTGCGTAAGCAGTTTCCTTTTGGAGAACCAAAACAGGAGCCGGATCGAACGTTTTCCATCAGTTTCTTGTAGCGGACGTTTCCGTTTTCAAGGCAATCAACACGTCACTATCATCGTGCGCCGCGCCGACTACCACAAATACAAAACGCACTTATTTTTCACAGTCGCGTCGAAACTATGCTGACTCCACAGAGTATTTGAACTTTTCGATGTGGCCCATGGCGCAGTCGGTGAAAAACCAGTCCCAGATGAGGACGCTGTCCAAGACGGGGATGTCCGTTTCGTCACAGCCAAAAGGGTCCGCGAGCGCATTGGACAGCTCGCGAATGCCCAGCGTGCAGAGGACGGTCAGAAGCATCGGAAATATGGACCAGTAACCGGAGGAGAACACCTGAGAGCGGCACAGGGCGACAGTTATTAGATTGGCCCAGTGACCCCTTCAATAGACATTAAGGTCTGCTCAAACAGTTCGCGGATGCCCAGCAAGATCAGAATATTTGAGTAGGTGTTTTACGAGAAATGAAGCAGTAACCGGCCGGAGGAAAATTTTCGAGAGCGGACACAGGAAAGTTTTCAGTATGCAGAGCCTGGCTGAGTAAACGGTTGAGGAGCTGCCGACGCCGTTCGTTTGAACTACTTTGAAGCGTGGGAGTGGGCGGTTAAAATCATCGATAAGATGGATCAATACCGGAGGAAATCAATTTTGCGCCGAGGAATGGAGGACTTACTGATGGGCTTCCACGCCCAGAGCCCAATTGAAATTCCACCGGCCCCGCAGAGACTCTCTCAAGTGCCGCAAAGCATGCATGCTTAGAAGTTTGGAAAAGTTTCGGAATACTGATGACGTTAGCGGGAAGAAGCCCCTGGGGGATGGGGACGTAGGGGAGCATCCGCTTTTGAAAATGCTATCGGGATCGACTGAATCCAATCGCGTCTGGGAGCGTGATATTCACAAACGGAAGACCAGATGTCACGGGATTTTCGCAAGCATGCTGCAGGAAGGATGAACTGATGATTACGAAGTAAACCCTATGAGCAAAGTAAACTCGGATCAGGGTCTTCAATACAAACGCGCTAAAGCTTTCAACGGTGACTGAAATAGTGGCGAATCTTTGAAGCATGGTTAAATGAAATAGGGAGTATAGTTGGCCGAGTAACATCCTAGCTAGGAAAACTCATTGGGAGAGCCATCATGTGGGCTCACCTGAGTGTAAGCCAGTATCAATAGGTATCCGATCGCCATGACGTTCAAAAGGTGGTGAAACGCAAAGGGTACCTGCATCAATGGTTCAGGCGCGTGTTCAGTCTCAGTCTGCTCTAACTGCTGTGGAACAACCAGATGCAGCGACTTTTAATCCCTCCATTTTACTTGTTCAGATTTCTTGAATGAGAGGACCTGAAAGGCATAGCAAGAATCAAGAAACGGAAGCGTCTGTCTTTCAAGAAAAGCCCCAAAACAGGCCTGGTGCGTGACTGGTCGCGCAAAGGTGTCAGTATTGGAACTCAATGATGCACCGTTTGTATGTGGTGAACAAGTGTTCTTCAACTGCCAGCTATGGTTACGGGGCGATTTCTTCAAACTGAAGGAAACCTTGGGCCAAACCGGAGCCCAAGAGAAGAAAAAAAGAGAATCGTGGCGCGAAAAGTGCATGGTAAAAAGTCTTGCATCTCATTGACGTGAAAGCTTAGCTTAGGTTATCCCGTTGCTAAGCAGACGAGCCCGAAATGTTCAACATGGATCTCTCGAAAGAAGCATAATAACCATTTTCCGCTTTTTTCCGCTCATTTCATAGAACCCTCACAGGTGCGTCTCGGCAATATGGCTACAAGTACTTTGTTTGAGCGTGACTGATCGACTCTGAAAGTCTGTAACCTCTTTTCACCAAAGGTTTGAAAAACTGCAACATGACATTGCTTTTGAGCCCAGGAGCGGTTTCCTTCGTACGATCGGGTCAGCGAATGATTGGCACTTGACAACATTGCAAAAACGGTACGTACCGGCGTGGCGGCGTATTCGTAGAGAGTGCTGAACCCGTTGAAAAGGCGCAGGAAGGCGCCGGCAAGCGTGTCGTGGGTTCGCTCGGTGATATGCCCCGCCCGGAATTCCTGGAAGATCAGGTACATCGTCCACTTGACGACCTGCCCCGGAGAGACAACCGGGCGTTTAGGAGAGTGCTTCTTTCAACTGCCGTGGGGAATAAGGACAAAAGAAAAGAAAAATAAGCAGAAAAAGAGTGATCCTCCCGGTGATATGCCCCGCTCGGAATTCCTGGAAGATCAGGTACATCGTCCACTTTGACGACCTGGCCGGGGAGACAATACATGAGCGGTAGCTGCCTACATTCTTTTCTCCGCTTCTGATGATGCTGGGTTGTGGCTGATCTCAGGAACGTGGGACCTTTAAGATTTACTGGCGGTGGAATTCTTAGGCCAGAGCGATGCATATTCCCTGATACTGCATGTTGCTCTCAGAATCGACGCAAGATGAAGAGCATGAAGAAAGTGCGATATATCCAAATCGAACATTGGGCTCATCATCTATAAAGAACTTTAAGAGAAAAATTCAAGCACTTGCCCCTCATAGGGCATCCGCCGGCGCCTCTCATCTTTGCGCTTCACGCTTCGCGCTTTTGCAATCCAGCTCAAGCCAGCCAGACAGCCACTCAGTTATCATTACCGATAACAGGTTCTGGATCTCTCAGTGAAACGTTTCCATTGAATGTTTCGTCAACAGGTGCAGAACGCCCTTCTTCGTCTTCTGCAGTCTGATTGTCGACTCACCGAGAACACGGGCTTCACCCCTTCCGGCAGTGCAAGGATTAAGGCCTCCTCCTCTAACGTCAGCAGCTGCCTGTCGTGCACTCTCTTGAGCGCCCACACGTGGAGGTCGTTCTTCTTGTAGTGGGGCAGCCAGGCGAAGCCGAGGTAGCAGCAGGCGATGCAGTAATTCAGCAGCTTTTGGCGGACGATGGACGCGCCTGCAGATATTAAGGAAAGGTGTAATCGTGTTTCCTGCGCTCTTGATTCTTTGATTCTACCGGGCTTCTCCTCTAGGGCTTCTCCTCTAAAGATGGACTTGTGTACTAAACTGAATACGTCCTTCTCCGTCCATGCGGATCAGGGGACAGAGGTCTGCTTACTCTACTCTCTTTGCGATTTGCAGTCTTCGTCTGCCTGTGTAAGGTCTTTTCCGGTTTTCGAGCTAGCTGGCAGGCACTCTCGTGATGTGCCGAGCCTTGCCAGTGCTTAGTCTGTCAAAAGTGAGGTGAAATAAATCCAACTCGTCGCACTTTTAAAGCGGCAAGAGCTGGGAGCAAGGCTGGGCACACGCGGGACTCGGACTTGCAGAACGGCAAGAGGACGTACTGCCTGAAAAGCAGAGATTTGTACCCACCCCTGTTTGTTGCTTACCGTATTGTGCTTGATTGGTGACGTTCTGCCCCAGCACCAGGAGTCGATGGTGACGTCATCTAGAAAAACGGTCCGTTTCGGACGAGAATCGGACTTACCCGGGAAGCGGTCGTCGTCGAAGCGCGTCCGCAGGTCCGTCGTGAACTGCCACGCGGCCTTGGCTACCAGGTTGCACGCGTCGTACTGCACAAAGAACCTGTCGGGCAAACCGGTGATTAGTGATCTAGCAACGTTTCTCTGCTATAAATCCCGCTCAACTGTGAGATTGCACTAGCAGTGAACGTGGAAATGGGCCCTGAACGTCCGTATCTTGTGATGAACCGGCCTCAAAGATCGAGAAGCTTTGCTGAGTGTTTGCGAAGTCGTGCTCTTCGAACGGATTTCAAAACCTTCCGCTCGTTTGCTTCCGCACCAAATGTGTAGCTGGATCGACGTCAGATGCAGATTTTGGACGGGATCCGACAACGGAAGTCATTTTTTCACCCACGGCCTCCCGCTCCAAGAAGAACAAGGTTAAGCTGCGTTTTATCCCTGGGCACCGTTCTTTGAGAGACTTGGCGAGCAGTTGTGCAGATGTATCGGCATACTAGTTTCATCAGCAGAAGGCTGCGTTGCAGGCGTCGCAAAAGGTCCTTGTCCGACTAGGTTGTTTTTCGCAGCCTTGATTTGTTTTGGCACTTGGATAATCCGTCTTGTTGCCAGGACCGGTGCAGACGGCGATACGAGCGGGCTTGAGAACCCTGCGCACGTCGCCTAGCTTCTCCTCACCTGGCGTAACTCTGCGTCGTTTGGAACACGAGAACGAACGACACCAGCGTTCCCAGGAAGCCGGCATATGTGCTGGACCGCAGAAACGGCCAAGGCGTGTTGCCAGGTGTCGTGTCGATGCGGATCTTGTTGTGGTCGGTCTGGTAGTAGCAGATGAGGAGCAACACGTGGACGGATATGATTAGCCAGAAGCTGGAGCTGAGGAGAGCCATCTTGGCGGCGGTGCCCGTGAGCCGGAAGAGCAGCCGGATCGGGTGATTGGCGTCGTATATATACGTGCCCTGCGGAATCTGCAGGGGGAGGGAATATGCGACTTTTACTTCAAAACGTTTTCAGTGCTATCTACCCGGCTTTGGCGGCCAACGCTGCCGCATTGGCTGGCTGCATGGTTTTTTTATGCAATACTAAAAGCTGAAGACGGAATGACTTGCGGACTTTGTTGCTTTCGCTTCCGTTTGTTCTTCAAGCTGCTCCGTTCTCGTGAGCTGTGTTCTTCATGAAGCGCGAAGACCTCCGAGTCATGCTATCTTGGGAAGTGCCTCAAAGATCAGCAAGCGACTGGCTTTTACTAGTCACTTGTTATTCCAGTGATACAGCATAAGGATGTCTGCCAGCTCGACTCGAACAGGACTCAGGTTTTGAGCCCGTCTCACTTCGTCATGAAGCGTTCTTACATTATCACGCAAATATCTGAAAACACCCAACTGACTTAGAAGCCATCCAAGAAACAACCTTCCTGACCGTAAGCAGGTCGAGAACTGGACGGCCGAGAAACGAGCTCCTCGAAAAGTCGCAACAGGCCCATTTCGAAACCTGCCAAACCAAGTTTCTGTGAGCTTCTCATTTCAAGACTTCTTCTTACCAGTCCTGCTTTCTTCAAACCCTTCAGGGGCGCCAACAGGGGGCTGTCGGGGTTGGCCGGTGCAAAGAGATTTGTCCCGTCCACCATACTGTAGTCAATCAGGCCCTCGTGTTTCTTGGCTTGTGCGCCCAGTGACACCTTTGTCGGCATCGGAATAACCGTTTCCTTTTCAGCTGCGGTACCCTCTGGAGGCGCTGATTTCGAAGCCATCTCTGGAATGCTTATAACGTACGTCACTCAGAACACTGCAGAAATGGAATCCAGAGAGTTATCATAAGACTCTGAGAAGGGTCTGGCGGCCATCAATAGTTTAATTAGCGTGATGTCCTGTTTGGCTTGTCTTGAGCATCTCTAAAAGATGCAGAGTCTACTGTGGAACCGATGATCCTTCATTCTTCACAATGAAGGATTGTGGGTCAACGTACGCAGCATGGTAAGGAGCTGCTGAATGTTCCAGAAAAGATTCACGGCATCAGATGGCAATGGGTATTGATGGCCTGTGTTGAGGTGCAGCTGAATGCACCTTGACAAGCGCTCCATGAGAAATATACCAAACACCACTCGAGGCAAAGACAATACAAATGGCACATGGAAAAAAAAATCTACATTCGCGGGTTCAATGCACATTCTGAACTTTTTGTGTGGCGTTAGAGAACGAATGTTGTCCTCCGGTGCACAGTTCAAGCTGGTTCTGCAGCCTGCCAGCTATGCTTGATTCCTGAGCCATGAAAGGGTCACCTTTCTTCACGAACTTACAGGATAGGCCTAGTGAAAGCCCAATAGGTGACAGCCCAATGTGACAAAACAGCATCTGAGGTCTGGCTGCTTACAAGTGGTTCGCTCTCCTGTATATTTTCAGCCTACATGAACAACATGTCGATCCATGGTGCTTCCAAAGGAATAGACAGTTTGATATTGCTTGAGCTTTCAAGGACACAAGTTCTTCAGCATCATATGTAATCAGGTAGATTGATTGAATCGTACTGTACTTGATTTTGATATCTCCAGATGTTTCTTCTTGTCAAGGAAGGCGTACAGCCTGGCTGTTATTGTCAAATCATTGGCTAAGACTTTACATTGTGTGCTGCTAGATTTGACCTTAAGAGTGCAAAACTATGTTTGCCACCTTTCTTCAATCGGTGAGCCAGCGTTCAGGATGCTAGTATCACATACACATTAGCGCTCAAAGACATTCTCACATTGCCAAACTTGTTGCCCTGCACTCACCTCGAAATTGCCAGTGGAGAGTTCCGGCGCTGACGCCAACGCCTACAAGACAAGAGACCTCTACCTGAAACCGAGTGACAAGTGACAAGGGGTCGAAGGCTGCACGCAGCTGAGCTAGATCCTGTAGGTTGTAATTGGAATTATAGTTGTGCTTCAAACGACAATTTTGATAAATATACGACAAGTGATATGGGCGGACCCTCACAGCAACCCTCAAAGGTAGACTAAGTATTCATTGTTTTGAAGTTGTTTTGGACGTACAGCTCAGAGGACTAGGTCTGCTGTTTTGAACAGTTCAGAGTGTCTGACTCGTGGCTATTGATCATGAATCGGACCAGTCTCAATGCTAGCTTGGACTGAGCAGCATCATATATGGGAAGGATGACATTGACACAGACGATCAAAAGACCAAGTGACTCCGCAAGCGCGGTGGTATGTGTGTGAAAAAGCCGGCTCAGCTGCTTCGAGCTGCTCCAAAATTCCATTCAAGTGCATGACTTTGAAAGCTCAGCAGGGCCAATTTATAAGCGGCAGGCGACCGTGAGCTAGCAGGGCACATCTAGGATCTTTGTCGCCGGGGGTTAGCTCGATGCTAACTCTAAAAGCTAAGTCACCGTAGCCGCCGCTCAATATCAAGCTCCCTGGCCGTCACCGCAATGCTCTGCTGCTGCTGCGTGCATCCGTATTAGGAATGACGTGGGGGGGCACTCCTCCGTACGGTAAAGTACCCCGGCAAGAGTCGCAATTGAATTAAAGTCGAATGCGGCGGAGCGTACGCCATATACCGTACGGCATCCATGATAAGCTATGGACGCTCGCCCCTTGGTCCCGGAACGGTACCTAGCTGCGTCCGTACCAAGGCATGGTGTCAAAACACCTTTGTAGCGGTGCACTGAACTCCGGTTTTTCGAAGTTTTGAGGGGTGCATGGAAGCCGGTTTTGAGTAAAGCCCGAATTTGTCCGAGTGGGTATGGAAGCCGGTTCTGCTTTGCGCTCACCAACTTCACTTTTGGGGCGGGGTTATGGAAGTTCGTTCAAGGCGTTGAAGTTTTTAGAGGGGGGCTATTACAAGAAGAGCGACGTTTCTGGGGTCGTTTTCTCCGGCAACGTAGACCCCCAACAAGAATCCTGTGTCTACGGCCCGTCAACGAAAACCAGAAATTCTTAGATCTACGAGGTTCTTTGAAGGTTTTAGGGCTATACGTATGTGTCTAGTTCTTGAAGACACCTGGTTCTAACCTGAGTTACAGTAAAACCTAAAGCGTTTTGCAAGCCAGATCAAAGGTGAGGGGGGGAAAGCGGTCAGTACAAATATTGTACTACTAGGGGTCAAAACATCGACTACAGAGGCCCCCCCCCTGGAGGTCGGTTTTAGATGCTCATGGGCCTTCAGTTGGACCCCCTGGAAGCCGGTTTTTAAACCGGAGTTCAGTGCACCACTGCAAAAGTGTATTGACACGATGCCCAAGTCCGTACCCAACGCGGGTACATTACATGACACGTCATGCGATCGCAAGTCCGACCACGCTGAGTCTTGAGTCTTGACTCGGACCGACCGCTTCGCAAGGGCTACTAGTAGCTGTCGCAGTGTCGAAGCAGTGTAAGACTAGTAACTACCTTACGTTTAGTACAGTCTACGTACAGTCCCGACTTAATGCACGTTTATCGGCTCATCATTTGCCGGTCGATCAAATTACGAGGGCATGAATTGCGTCCGGAAACGGGCCGGAAACTTAGCTAAACGGTACGGTATCTCATCAACCATGCAGAGGCTCGGCCAATCACAGTACTCGGGGACTCCTGAGCACCCAGAACACAGGTGTCACAAATCACTGCCCAGTGCGGAGTGCTCACTACTCAGCTGGAATCATTTGCGGCGCCATTCGTGTGCCGGTATTTTACATCGTGCACACTGCAGACGTCATATGCATGTGACTTTCAACAGCGGTCTCTGCAGATGGGTACGGTCTAGTGGCGCCTACGTCATGAGTATTAGGTAAACCACTTTCGTCACGGCAGCATCGAGAGTGCGAAACTGGGAGTCTGGGAGAATTGACCTGGAGCTAGAGGACTTCTTTCTTTTTCGTAGCAGGTAAGTACCAGGTAGCGCTTTCAAGGCAGCTCCGACCATGATCCCATGACAATGACGTGACGGCAACGAGATTGCCCTCCATGCGCGCGCGCCACCTTCAATGAGCCTCGCTCAGTGACTGCTACTCGAAGAGTCGAAGTTCAAGAGGGTTCTGGCTTTGCCTCTTTCAACCTCAAGTTGAAAAGGTCCCTGTGCAGTCCTTTCACACGGGCCCTAGTGCTGATCACAGCTGTCATGTGGAAGCTGACTGTGCGCACCAGCGCCTAGCCTGCTGATCAACGGCAAAACTTCTTTGCAGCAGGTGACTGAAAAGTCAGATTGGGTCTTTGTTATCATGTGAGCAAGATTTTAAGTATGCAGCTTGATTACAAACGCTGACGGGCGCGCCGTGGCCAGGATAGAGGGACTTTTGAGGTGAGCCACTGTACTGGGCTGCACAGGAGTCTCTGACAGGAGACGAGGTCGATTCCAAAAGTGGAGATCGCTGCAGTATATCGACGGACGGCGCAGCTAGGCCCACAGCAGTGGCCACATGCAATGTGGCTGTACGGAAGAGCTCCGATTTACATTTTTTTGGTTGGACTAACTAGAGCCTGAAGACTTGCGGAAGAGACAACCTCACGTAGCTAGACATTGTGGATATAAGCAGTATGGCTTCTCACCGGGTCGATGCTGAGCAGCCAGAAGCCGGCGTGTCAACCTCTCAAGGGGCAAGTGGTGCCCCAGACTTTAACACCAGCATTGGTGAAGTCCGCCCACCAGCTTACAGCATTGATGACCTGGAGAGAGATGCCAAAGAAGGGGTGCAAGAGGTGCAGCGCAGAGTGCTCACAGCGATTCTGGCGCTTAATGAAAACACAGAATACCTACGCAGGTCAGTTGACCGGATGTCACTGCTTTCTGAGCTGGAACGTGTGCAACAAAACAACTGAAGCAGAGCCTGTGAGCCTTTGTTGGTGCCCGCTAAAAGATACTCTTGTGAGTTTGTTTGGTCTCTTCTGCTTCTTTTTCCTACCAGCTCATCTGGCTGTGACTCTTGTAATGGATCCCACGGACTGTTCCTACCTTTGCAGAGCTAGCAAGATAGCTAGTTTTCAGCTGTGTACAGGCATGTTTGATCTTTCCAGAACGAACCATATCTAAATTGACAAGGCGCAGCTGTCCTTATTTTGTGAGCAACGCGAACCAGCTGTATGCAGTGGATTGAGTCCGCGCAAGACTATAAATGCACAACCCGACAAGAGGCTAGCATTTTAGGGGACGTGCATGTATTCAACAACATAAAGCATTGACGTGCGCTGCGCTCTAGAGAGCTGCGCTTGGTTCCCTTCTTTGACTGCAAGATCCAAAATTCCTGAAGCTTGTCTGCCGTTGCTCTTTGACTGAAGCAAACGTCTCTTTGCGCTGTGCAGCTACGGGTTGGATCGATCGTCCAGCGTGGAAAGATTCAAAGCTGCGCATCCCCTGACCACTTACGGCCACTTCAAGCCCTGGGTGGAGCGAGAGGCATCCAACTTCCATACGGGAAGCGAACCGAAGATCCTCTGCGGAGAGAAGATTGCACACTTTCTGCTGACGTAAGCAATCAAATCCTTTTGCTTTGTCAGCATTGCAGATCAGGTGCTCCCTCACAAATCAACAATGCTTACGAGTGGAAGGTGTTAGACAAGGAGGATGGTGGTGTAACCATCCTTGATGGCGGAAATGCAGTTGTCTCGGAAACGGGCGCCTTTGTCGAATGAAGGCAGGCAGGAGATTAGCGCGTGAAACTTTGATTCTGGTGATTGCGACGTCTGCGCTTGAAGAGAATGTCAGATTAAGCACGGTCCGCTCAACAAGACCGGCCAACAATAACAGAGCCCGGACGCTGAGCTGGCAGAAGCTTCAGGAACAACAGATGGCCTGTTACGCAAACTCACACCAACTCCATTCTTTCATTGTCTTTTATCGATTATCACAGAGAGTCTGTTTTTGAGAACTGTCTTCTTACGGTGTTCCTCCAGGTCTGGAAGCACCGACAGCCGGAAGCTGATCCCCGAGACGGAGGGCTCGTTGACCCGCGCCACGCGGTTGATTGTTCTGGCGGCCTCCATCTTTACAAGGTACCGAAGTACTGATGAACTGCATTTCACCTGCCCTTGAGCGATTCGGTATGCTTTTCCATGGCGTGTTCTTGGCAACTTTCGTTTCCGTGCTGAATGTTGGGTCGCTCGACTCAGGTTTGCGAGAGGGTTTCAGGATCCGGATTCCCACGAGCTTAACACGGTCGCCGTTACTTACTTGCCTGCTCATTCAGTCCACAGAAACTTTTGAAAACAGCTAGACAATTGCTCGCGCAGTCAATCGTTGAGCGACGCTGCCAAGCCGGGCTTGTAAGTTTGTTTTCCGCCCGTCCCTTACAGGAACGGCAAGTCGCGCTTTCCTGTGTCCGCAAGTCTTGATCTGTTTGGCAGAGACCACAAACGCTAGATTATCTCGAGTTCATGTTTCGGGCGGAAGCAGCTTAAGCAGAAACAGGGCCCAGTCCGCTGATCAGCAACTTCTGAAAACTCAAGAGTTACTGTATCCCGTCTCGATTCCAAGCAGAAGTCATCGGACCAGTCTCGTCGGACGGTCAGAACTAAACGGACTCCCAAACTTTGCGCCGGCCAGTCAGCCGAGCTCAGAAGAGATTCCGAACAAGCCAGGTTTTCCGCGAGTTGAAGAAGTAGCTTCATGCAATCTACCCATAATGTCGCTTTTCCTGGCAGCTTATCTAATTGGAGCTTAGTTTGCACGTGCTTAAGCCAGGCACACAGCCAATCAATCCACTCGTAGAGAAGATACTGACTTAATTGCCTGCTGAATTTGGATCTTCTCCGTGTACCCACCAGATTCGTGACCCAGCTCGGTTGACCCGCAGGTTCTTCGGCGCTGAGTCCAACGCCTACGCGCTGCGCCTGGTCAACATGACTCGGCCGCAGCCTCTTCCGGGCGGTCTTCAAGCCATGCATTTAGTTCCAGCTCTTACCCGGTTTGGCCTCGACAAGTTTCCCGACGCCGTGTCCCGCACCATGAGCAGCCCCGCGGAGGTATTCACACTGTTCGACGCGGAGCAAGCCGCGTACTGCCACATGCTCTGCGCGCTCGCCGGTGCGAAAAAGCTCACCCAGATGCGGACCTCGTTCGCCGCCAGCTTCGTCGCGGCTTTTCACACTCTGGAGCGGGACTGGCGGGGCCTGGTGGAGGACGTCCGGAGCGGCGGTGTGAATGCGGCCCGGGTCGGGTCGGAGGAAGTTCGGGCGGCGATCGCAACGAGAATGGCGAGGGATTGCGAGGATTTGAAGAGTCTTGCGGACGAGCTCGAAGCGGAATTCCAGAAAGGGTTTGACGGGATCATCCCGAGAGTGTGGCCGAAGGTGAAGTTCGTGGAGTGCATTCTCACTGGGCCAATGGCACCCTATCTGGAGCCCCTCAGAAGGTGAGAACCGGCGCCCTTGGGCGAGTTTTGATCCACGCTTGTGAAGTGAGATTATTGAAGCGCTGCAGAATTTGTATCTTCCTTCGACTTGCTTCAAGCAGAACGATCTACACCGTTATCGTCGTCCCTTGAAAATGGATCGCTTCTAGTTCCGTCCTGGACCTCAGGGGTTGCGTTCAGAGATCATCCATACTAAGGTGCTTTCATCAGCCACTTGCAAGCCATGAAGAGAAATTGAAAGCAAGTTTTTTATCTGCTTGCTCCGCCTTCCGTCAAGTTTCGTATATTCCGTCTATCATCGTTCGTCATCGTCTTCGTCGTTTCGGATTTTCCACTTGCATCCGCATAGTTTGTGCCAGGGCTTCAATTCGAACAGGAAGTCGCGAGCTACCCGCAAATATTCTGACCGATTATCTTCTCTGCCCTCATCGCTAGAGTCGCCGGGACACGTCAATCCTCACCACTCTCACCGATGCTCCTCACTCTTCATGGGCTCTCGGCGCAATCTATCAGGCTGCCATTCGTCTCTCTGACTGTTTCGAAGCGCTATCGTTTCCGTTTCAACTCCAGTTTTTAGCAACCCTACTAGAGGTATCTCCGATGAAGGTAGCCGTTTCCGGTTTTAGATCTTTTCTTACTCGTAAAGTCTCTCCGAACTTTCCCTAGGTTTGCGGGCCCGTACCTTCCCCTGGTTACGCTAACCTACGGCTCCTCCGAAGCCTTCGTCGGCATCAATGTCGACCTCTCGAGTCCCGACCCCAGCACTGCCCGGTACACCGTTCTCCCGAGGGAGGCCTTCTGGGAATTCATCCCGGTGGAAGCGACCGGTAGCGAATCCCCGACCACTCTCGGCCTTCACGAGCTCGAAGTCGGCCGCTGCTACGAAGTGGTACTCACCAACTACGGCGGTCTGTACCGGTACCGACTGGAGGACATCGTCAAAGTGGAGGCGCACTTACACTCCCTGCCGCAGATCAGCTTCCAGTACCGCCGGGGCGTGCTCGCGATCCAGGGCGCGAGCGAGCACGTGACCGAGCGCGACCTCGCGGCCGCGGTCGCGGACGCGGCCGCGGCGCTCGCGCCACGCGCGCTGCGCCTGGTCGAGTACACGACCGCGATCGACATGGAGTGCCGGCCGCCGCGGTACACCGTCTTCTGGGAGGTAGAACCTCTACCGGGAAACGCGGCGGGAAGGGTTGAGCTCCCTGCGGAGAACCAGGAAGAGGCATCGGCCTCGCTCGACGTTGCGGAGTTGGCAGATGCGCTCGACAGAGCCGTTCAGGCGCAGAACGCGTCGTACGACATGTCCCGCTCGGTGAAGAAGGAGCTGTCGAAGCTGGAGCTGTGTGTCGTCCGGGCGGGAACATTCGACGAGCTGTTTCGATACAAGGTGGCCCAGGGGGCGCACGCCGGGCAGTACAAAGTGCCCCGGTGCCTCAAAACGGAGGACGTGCTTGGGATATTCCGGCGGAACGTTCAGCGGAGCTCCGCTCCGGACAGCCAGTGGGTGACCGGGGGGCAAGGCGGGAGTTGAGTACAGCCAGCTTGTAATATTCGTTCCTCACGGGAATACAGAAGCGTCGTGTGCTTGCAGACTACGAAACTGTCCCGTTCAGAGTTACGTAGCGCGCCGTAGTGCCCCGAGTGTCGCGTTAACGAGAACGTACTAGCTACATTTCTCACGACGTCAGAAGATGCAGCATGACTGTCGGTTAGGTGGGTGTGTGTCACTCGTACGCTTTTGGAAGCTTAGGGAATCGTCAGAAACCACTTTTTTTGCTTCACGTCAATCGCACAGTCGACCTCAGCTTGAAATTGAGGTTGAGAACTTGCTTAGGCACGGCATGTGAGTGGTATCTCATCTGGTCGAAAAACAGATTCTCATACAGAGTCACGGACTGTCGTTACACGGCTCCAAACTTCAGGATGCCGGCATAGAGAGCATACTTTCTTCCGTAGTCATTGAAAATTCACATGCAGTTTTATGCATGCAGATTAAGCTTTGAATATTTTCGCGGTAGTTCTAGTACTTATCACGTAATTCTACTCGTCTGTTCACTGTGCAATTCTCATCTTACATATCCGACTGTTTGAAAGGCCAATCATGACCATGTCTCCCTTGGATATGCGGCAAAAGAAGAGGCCCTTCAGTGCTCGAGTATATGAAACAAGATTCTCAAAACATGAATCGCGAACTGCAATCTGAACACCAGCTCAAATATTTTTCGAGGCAGCGCTGCCTGTCCGCCCCTTCTCCGGAGCGACGCGCCTGTATGTCACTGGCACTCCCGCGAACCGGCCACTTGACTCGGTCATTTGTCAAAGAACGAGTCGTATGAGATTTGAGTTGCAAGTCCAAACGGGCTGCGGGGCAAGTCATGCAACCACGCACCACTATATTGCATGTTTCGCGACTCAGGTCTGTGTGTCTGCCAGTGGTGTCTATTGAGGTTATAACGGATTCGCAAAGCCCGATGTGCGTTTCGAACTGCAAAGCGTCCTTAGCACAAAGATCGAGTCCGTCCTGAGATGTTTTTCCTTCCTTGGAATCGGGTTAACTAACACCTCCTGATGGCCGGAGGGCGATCGCCTTAGCTACATCAGGATCGCATCTCAGCCCGTGTTTGTGCGCCACGTGTCACATGGCCTTCTTCTTCTGTCCAACGGTGGGAGGCGCTTTGGCGGCAGACTTTTCGGCGCCCTTCAGAACGTCGGCAGGACGAGGGATCCCCCTGAAAGCTCAAACAAATCAAAAGCGTTAGCACGCTAACCAGCGTGCAACCGGGCCGGGTTGGGCGCCTACCTCCATCTGCCTTGAAAGATAAACGGCAGAACCGGAAATTAAGGCAGGGTCCTAAGGTTCAACCTGAAGGCTTATTCGAGAAAAATTCAGAACCGTTCTGCGTTTCATGTCTGTAGAAAGACACGCTCGTCGGCAGCTTCGAAAGGGAAAGGGATCCGATGTCATCCGCCAGGTCAGACGATCCACATCTTGCCCAGCAAGTAACCCCTTTTCTCGATGTTCGTCTCGACGCATCGTCTCGATTTGGAGCTGAACAAGAGAGGAAGAAAAGTGAGAACGACTTCTTACGTCACCACGTGGAAGACGTAGTCGATCGGGGCGGTGCAATCCAGGGGCAGTCCCGTGAACTCCGAAGCGAGCGCTTGGGCCACCTACATACGGAAGACGAAACCCTTCAAGAGATATGCATCTCTGATCTGGCAATTACAGCTCGTACGTATGGCGGTTTTAAGAACGCCGCTGATCTTCCGGTTCCATTAGCTCACTCCCAAAAAACCATGGGTTAAGTCTCCCCGTTCACAACACGCAGATTGGTCTCGTGTCGCGGCTTGGGGCCAGCTTGATTATGATGGGCGTAAACAACTCCCTGTCCCACCGCCGTTACGCTGTTGACAATTACCCCTAGCTCGTCCTAAATCTCGTAACAGAGCAACAATCACGCGTTTGTGGGTTCTATGCAGTGCCTCAGAATCGCGAACGTTCCTGGGCCCTTCTGAAACCATGTGAGTACAGTACGTTGAGGTGAGCCCTGCAACGACGACAACACGTGTTGGGCGGTGATGTCACAACCTGCTTATTCTGGGGCCCCTTAACCTCGCATCCAAGATGTTCTTTTCGAAGGAGCTCTTAGAAGGGGAGAGCGTATGGTATATCGTCGACTTCCGCAAACTTCGCACCTAAGGACTTGCAGACTGGCCGTGCAACATCTTGGGTGCGAGTTCAAGGTTCCCGAAATCAATAAAAACCTTTCACCTCAAAGAAGCTCACCAGGAAAGTGATGCCAAGGGCTTCGGCCACGTCTTGGGGCAGAATAGGGAGCCAGTGGACGGTCGAGAGGTACAGAAAGGCGATCACGAAAGACGACCACGTGTTCCTGTCAGAAAAAATCAGATTCCCTTTTTCGTGCGTCGGCCGCAGCGATTCAATAGAAGAAAAGCAATGGAACGTTTTCGGGACTGCCGGACTGATCGATAGGGATTGCCGAAGTGATCCAAAAGTCGCTTCAGGAATCAGTCGAATTATGGCAACTACCTCATCTCGACCTGCTGGGTCCATTTGAGTAAGTAAGTTCCGCTCGTTGGAGAACTCTGGGGACTATACCCTCACGGTAGATCACCGCCTGCGACTTGCACTTCGAAGACAGAGCGGAACCCACACAGGAAGAAGCCGACGCTTGATTCCTCTCGTATATTACGTTAGGTTTCTTCACGAGGGGCTGAATTCACATTCTGCCACTGAGTTTTCTTTCATCCGAAAACGGCCGTCGCAGATCGGAAGCTCCCAGGGGAAAGAATCGCGCAAACGCGCTGGCATTCCGCTTGCGCGTAATCCGGCTCTTTGCGAAATGCACGATGAACACGCTGCATCTGGGACCTACGGCTGAATCGCAAACAGGTAGCGCCTGACGGCAGAGCTATCCTTCTTCTGGATGCGTCACGTGCGGAAAGCTCTTACCAGGTCGGATAGGAGAACTCCATCGGCTTCCGTAAACCCATGTTATACAACACAATGTCCGTCAGATAAACGCCGCCGCAGCCCCCCAAAGTGCCCAGTAAGAGGGGCGAAACAACGACTCCTGGGGCGCAGACTTTGACGGCGTGAGTCACGCCGGCTGCGATCGTGTGCGCTTTCAGGACGGACGAAGCGACACGGCAAGCGGCCTGCAGAGAGAAGGGGGCGACTGGAGGATATGCTATCGTGAGGTTATCGCGGAAAGGACTTGAGTAGGTGTGAAGCCAAGTCAGGAGATGCGGTTGGTCCTCGGAGATCTGAGGACATCAACTTAGGGCTTATTTCTCTCTTTCTTTTCTCTTTTAAGCTCTTTCTTTTTCCGTGGACGATACCAGCTGCATCGTAAGGGACTCAAGAACGGACAAAATCCTCAGCGCTGGACAGAACCCGGAGTCGAAGTTCCTTTCTGGCTTACGTTTCCAAATTCTGGTTAGAAGGTTCGAACAGAATTGGGGAACGAAGCTCCAAGTTGATTTTTGAGTCAAAACTTTGACATTGAACGTTACCAAGCAGAGTCGGGTTCGGATAGGAACGGATCAGGCCAACAAGCGGCCGGAAGAGGAGAGAACGACAGGTTTGCCGCTCGAAAGCTGACTGGCTGCAACATAACTGGGCTGCTTGTTTTACATTAGGTTTTACAACCACACAATATCCTGCCAGGTTCTGCCTGTTCTTCGAAAGAAAGGTCCGTCTTAGCACGATTATAAATCATGACGAAACTCCTGACATACAGGACCGCCTTCTTGCAGGAGGCAGTATCTGTCGAGTCTCAGGCAGCCATCACTCGAAACGCGCCCTGTCTTAATATGGAAGAGCCCATTGACGTTCTCATGCAATCTCTGAGCTCAAAGGGCGTTTTAGAAAAAGACGTACCCTTGCTGGAAGGTTGTTGTAGAGCTTGAATACGAGGTCCCCAGGGCAGTATATCATTAGGTACCAGCAGACCGAGAATATAACCAGAATGAAGTCATATTGAAGCCATACTGGGAGCTCCGCCAGAAAGAGACTGGACAGAGTGCCCCCGCCAAAGCCGGCGCAGAATGCCATCCAATATCCGATGAGCCAGTACTGGTTGAAAGCCCCTCGGAAGAAGGAAGACACGAAGAGGGAGTGCATTGCGAGCATGTAGGGAAGGGGCACCCTGAAGAGAAGAAAGTTATGAGGTTGGTAAGAGCGGAATTCTTGGCCAAAGTTGATGGTACAATTAGTGAAGGTTTGGACAAGCTTGAGCAAAGCTAGCTGTGTCAAAAGGGTAAGCAAAATTCCTGAGTGTTGTCTGCAGGAAGCTCATTTTCCAATTTATGATTACTACCGGCGAAAAATACAGTGGTCTTCCAAAAGCTCACAAATTGGTCTGATTGCCAACGTGATGCTATCAGGGTTTGGACTCAGCTTCAAACTTCAAAGCAATGAGTTGCAATTTCTTGAGCTCCAGAATTTTCCTGTTTATATGACCAATCTGCAGAGGTGAGTGGATACCCGTCCCGGCATCCTGCGCACCACTTTACCGCCCTCTTCAAGTATTCATCAAAAAACTCACCATCACCGCATCTGCAAAAACGCAACCAATGAGCGCGCAACTCTAAACAGATAGTCGGCAGTGCAAAGATGCCAAGCGACTCTGCCCAATGCCAAGCACTCACATGCTGTATGATCGCCCAACTTTTCGAATCCCGTCATGATACGGCTCCAGGAGCTGCCTTGCTTGAGCTGCCAGCTCAGCGGTGGTGTTTGGATGCAGGAACGACCCGGTGAAAAGGGACGCCATGGAATGCCGCTATTGCAGTAAGTCGGTGCGATGAGTTTGTGTCAGTTAAACCGAGAGTAGACCCTCTTCTTGAGGAGGTTCTGATTGGAAGCTCGACTGTCTAAACCCTCCAACAAGAAGCTCGACGCACGCTCGACGATTCTAGGATAGGCTGAAAGAGATCCGCCTAATTAGAATCAGATGATTGCATATATGGACATCTCCACAACTCCGAAGATTGAAGGATGTGACTACCACTGGCAGTTTGCAAGGCACCTGAGTACGTACAAGTATGCTGACGGCATTGGACAAGTCTCTTCAAAGTTTCTCGGTGTTGACCGCAGCTGTGCAGGTTGACAGCAGCTCGCCATGCCAATACTCAGTATACGCATAGCGGCTAAGTTTCAGTTAGTGGACCTTCTCAGCACTCGGGTTGAAACCAGCTTCTCTTGCCCTTCCTACTTCAATCATCTAAGAGGCGCCATATAGATGACAGCGAGCTAGAGAGCGAAGTTCATCGGATGGCTATGCGTTGATGTATAGTGGCAGAAGTAGCTAGTCTGTTAGCACAGTGAACAGACAGACTGTAACTATGAGCCGCGCCGTGTATAAACTTCCTTCCAGGTCTAGATTGCTAGCTGCCGTGACTGTGTCTCCCTTCTGTCCCTTCTCCCTTGCCGAACTGCGAAGCCATCAAGCGCCAGCTAACTGCAGCAATCAGTGCCGCCCTGCGTGCCTCATGCAGTGGGGCCACCTTCAAGTTGGCAGTGGTTTATATCGTATGCGAATACACAGTACCCATTCACGGGGGCGATTCCGGTACGAAAATGAATGATTACACGGCCGGTACACAACCGGTCGGCGGATATCGTGAGGTCAGTGATGTACGGTATCCGACGTCACCAATGATTCAACCGTTTCCCCGTATGCCCACGTAGTTAATGCTGGTCGTGACCGGACGGACCGTTGTACCCAGATGCGCGCGGCTGGCCGCCCGCGCCGGCTGCTGAAGTTTACGAAAGTGTACCAGGTACACGTTACCCGAGCTCATGCTGTACAGCTTTAACCCTCTGTGGCAACCTCTAATACCTACCGGTAGTTGCTCGCAGTCAGTCCCATCAACGTACCGTACCAGCGTTTAATTTCGTCAAATAATAAATACATATATGGCCTGACGAATTTCGCTGGAAAGTTTTCTGGGCGGTAATGGACCGATAATGGTCTCCTTTGGCAGGTAACGCTAGGGATGCCGAAACCCGTAAACGTTTCATAATGAATTATGTGGCGTCGAACCTGACGAAATCAAACGCTGGTACGGTACCTTAATCCCATGCAAAGCAAGGCAGCTCAGATTCGCTACATGACTGATGGCATCATGAGAGGCTAGCCGCTAGAGCTGAGGCTCCACTCAGAGCCGTCTTAGACTAATCAATCACTTGTATAGCCAGGCGCTGGTCTTTCTTTCACAATACCGGTAATTTCTCATTCGCTTTCCACGTATATACAAATCAGCAGTGTTCACCATGCAACCACTCCTAATTACAGGCCCGGGCTCTGTAGCAAAAGTTCCAGTGATCGTGGCGAAATTGTTTTCGGAAATGCGCAAACACTAATTGCTAAAGCGCAAATTCACCCTAATTGGCGAAATTGGCGAAATTCTCTGTATGCTTATGCGATTTCGGGCGCCCCAGCCTATGACTTGGTGCCAAAATGTGTGCTGGTCTGACGCTAACCCACCTATCAGCCGCCTCAAAGGTCGACTGCCCATACAAGGTCAGATGTAACTGCCATCTGAGCCCAGAATGTCATTGACACAGTTATTTTACGCCCACGCGCCTATGCGCGGCCGCGCGGCCGCGCTTAATTTCGCCAACCTGCGCAAACTGCTCCGTTTGCGCGAATATGCGCAAGCTAATGCGCAAACCTAATTGGCGAAATCAATTAGGTTTCGCCACGAACACTGAGCAAAACTGTAGCAAGAAGCCTACTAAGAAAAGCAGTCTATGGACTATACGAGGCAGTCTTGACTAAGCCAGGATTGACCCGGAGTTGTATGAGCCACCAAAGCTCCGAGAGCTGGACGCAGTTTGTGGATCCAGCTTCCAAGCTTTGGTGCGGTGAACCGCAAAGAACTCCAGCGTCTTCATTGTATCTTCAGGCGGGCATGCACCAACACATATGCACCTAAGCTAAACGCCATTGGTTCTTCTACGCACCCGCGACAAACCAGGTGAGCTAAGCGCGTCCATTTGTCGAGTAGCGGGTGGAATCTGCTCTGACGCGCTGTTTCTCCAATCAGGGCGCACTTTAAGAGCTATCATTCATAGCAATTCGTTCACATTTGGAAAGATTTGAGGATGAAAGAACGTCTAAAGGGTGGTGGATTCATATCTGGAGCTCCAGATATTCGTATCACTGTTTGGTGAGATCGCCACCCAGAAAGAACGTCCCACTAAACGACCATATGATGGGGCACGGAGCGCATCCATATTAGGATTGCCCTCTTCTGCTTGGCTGGTGTCAACTGGCTGAAACAGAAGATATCACTCGTAATCTGTCCATGAACAATGCCGGAGCTGCTTCCACCATGATTTCCCTGTTCAGGTTCCAAAGGCGGCGCAAGATGGCTGGCTTCCGACCCAATGGGAGCTTGCCAGCTGTCACGTTGGCGGTGGCGCTAGTGCTGTGCGCCAATGGGCCAACTTGGGTTGCTTCGGCAAGCCCAGCAACCAAACATGTCGAAGAAGCCCAGAAGGTGAGTGGAAACATTTTGCCTGATTTTTGGTTGCTCACTTCAAAGTGACCGTTTAAAGTTGCTGCGTTATGCCTGACCCATCAGCTCAGCTGTCACGTTTGAATCATGCGCTCATCACGGAGGCTGGACCGTTAGTCAGAGGGAAGCTCATAAGCTTCGCAACCGGCCTACGTTTATGTTGAGGGTGACAAGCCAAGTCAGCTCAAATAGTAGAGGATATTGCATATAAAAGCAGCACGAGTTAAGGACACCTGGTTAGTCAAGCCAATAAGTTGTACTTGCCTTGCTTGCCCACCCTTAATTCAGTGGCCCAGCAGCGGTAGCGATCCGTGCTTTGATGTCCATGATCAGCCAGCCCAGTTTAGAGAGCCTGGCCAGAGTTCTACATTTTCAAAAGTCGGCCAACTCACTGGGAGATCATATCTGCCTTCATGGAGACTTCATCTTGCTCGATATGAACGATCCGAAGTGCCCACCGTATCTGCAGGACCTTACCGAGTGGATCTCGAAGCTGTGGCGAGAGTTGCACCAATATCCGGAGCTCGCATACCAGGTACGGTGGGCATACCAGATCCGATCCACCTTCGATGCATTCGCACTTATGTTGCAGTTTCGAACATGAAAGTCGGAGCACTCTTGTAGGGGTTAAAGATGAACAGCATGGCGCAAATGCCTCTCTGCAACCTCATGCAGACCGTTTCCAGGCCTGTACAAGTGGGTAAACTCTTTTGCAGATTCTTCTGTTTGTTTTCGGGAAGTGGCTCTTTTCCTGGTTTCTTCGAACTCGTCTCCGGGTACGCGCCTATGACCACCCGCACGCGTATCCCCTGACTTAAGGATAAAGCTCGTTGTTTTAACTTGACTTAATGACAGCCCACACGATTTGTAGGAGGAAAAGACAAGCCGCCTCGTCCGCACAACTCTCGACTCTCTGGGCATCTCCTATACGTACCCTCTCGCCACCACGGGGCTCGTCGCAACGATCGGACGGCCGGGAGGCCGCCACGTGGCAGTCCGCGCTGACATGGACGGTCTGGCGATCACCGAAGCGACGGATCTGCCGCACAAGAGCAAAGTCGAGGGAAAGATGCATGGATGCGGGCACGACGCGCATACTGCTATGGTGCTGGGAGCTGCCAAGCTGCTCAAAGCAAAGGAAGCGGAGCTCCAGGGGCAGGTGTGGCTGGGTCAATCTCGATTATAGTATATACTCCCTTTCTAGTTCTATTTCCATGCTCTGCTCTTCTGTTTCTCAGACTAGTGCTTCAAAGGCTGTCTTGATCTGCGCTTTCGCAATTCCAGACGCATGCTAAATCTTTGCTCGGAGGAAATGCTGAAGCGCAGAGACAAAACGAGTCTTGCAGACAATACAAGGGCCATTCGCTATGCCACGACTAGAAGTGCCTCGAACTTCCAGGTTCGGGGATACGGTCCTGCATTTGATTTGCAGAAGTGCGTTCGCATGGATACCGGACGGCATGGGAGCAGCCAAGGTGTATAAGCTCAAACCGGAGCCCGAGAATAATCTCACCTCTTTCGGCCTGACGCTAGGCGCTTTGATTGCAGACCAGCACCATACCGCTTCTGCGAAACTCAATCTAGGGTCCTTGAAGTCTCGGACGAATAAATGCGACCAATTTTCGTCGATCCAGCTCTTGCTCTCAGGTTTTTACCTGAGGATGACGTCAAGCTCCAAAAGAAGTGAGCAAACAAGGAAAAAAGAGCAACGCACTCCGAATTCTCTCTTCGATCAGGTGAGCTTCGTTTTCCAACCGGCGGAAGAGGCGGGCGCCGGTGCGTACCGCATGCTTGAGGACGGGCTCTTCAAAAACGACCACGTGGATGCCATCTTCGGCCTCCACGTGGACCCTTACATGTTCACCGGGCAGGCCTCGGTGTATGCGGGCACGGTTCTAGCAAGCGCAGGCAAGATTACAGATTCTTTGGATTTTTGATATGTCGGACTTCGCGTTCGTTTTTCCCGGAATCATGCTTCTATCTCTGGAACTTTGCTTTGCGGGAATCATGCATGGTCTCGATTAGGTCTGGCTTGCGTATCTCCGCGTTGGCCTCAGGAGATGGTGGATCAATTAACACCCTCGTCCAGCGCATGAAGATTTAGCTGCTAAGAGCTATTTTACGTCCACAGATTTCAAAGGTCCGGAGACGTTCAAGGTTCAAGATTTCTCGCGCGTCTCTTCCAGTAGACGCCAATTGAATTGCACTTCATTCGTCAGCTATCACTTCTACCTGGCTAAGGTTCCAACCTCGCATCTAGTCATTTCTTGGACCTTGAGAGCAAATGAAGGTATTACTTAGGGGGTAATCAGGACTATTCGGAGGCGGCATGAGAAACATCATGAAGAGCCCGCCACCTTGGAAAGAGTGGGGTCATTTGGGGGGTTAGGGTGTGCTAGTACGAATGTTGAAAGGTTGAGTTGGGTTTGTAGTGTTCCAAAAGTCCTATCATACCTGAAGCTTACCATTCCTGAAGCTTATTAGTCCTCCTCATCATTGACGCAGGCACGTTTAAAGTGACGCTGACGGCAACCGGCGGCCACGGTGCGTGGCCGCATCTGACAGCAGACACAGTCGTAGCCGGGGCGTCGATTGTTCTCATGTGAGCCACGTGTAGAGAGCAGGAATGAGCTGGAAACGTGCTCGTAGATTTTTGATTTCTATTTCAAAGAGGGCGTCTAACCTTGAGGTTCCGCGGCGGGTTTTCGCAGAGAATCCTGTCCTTGTGTCGCCAAGAAATCAAGCGCGTGATACGGGGTTTAGCGACCCGGACGGGCATACGGACTTTATGGTCGCAGGAGTCAGAGTACGACGCCCCCATAAAGAACCTCGCGCTCGCTCACTCAGGTTTCCTTCTCCTCTCAAATTGTGCGTCTGCTGTCCTCAAGTCCCAGTCTGCCCTTTAAGCTGCCTTCTTTGCGGATTTTGTCGCCTTTGGCATCTCGTTTCTCCGGCGTTTGAAGTGAGAGCTTGTTCTGATTTGGCGGATGGCCGCCTCAACTTCGGCCTCTGCTGATGATGCCATAGAGTGCGCGTATCTATTCTCGTGAAGTACCACTGCAATGCGTCGTCATTTCGGGGTAGCATTCTGCACGGAAGATTCCTGAGTTACGCATGGTGCTAGCAAACCGGCCGCATCAGAGGACCTACAGATCAAAAATACCAGTGGGCCTCGAGCATCAACGCAAGCCAAAGACCCAAGAGCTGATGTGAGTGCCCTCAAAGTCCGCATTCGAATACAAGAGACTCAGAACTTGCAAGGGTTTCATCTCCTGCCACGTGTTGAGATCGTGCAGGCTTCAGACGCTCATCTCGCGGCGGCTGAGCGCTCAGGAGGCGGGCGTGGTGTCGGTTACGATGTTCCAGGGGGGGTCGGCGCTCAACGTGCTGCCTTCCGAGGTCGTCTTAGGTGATGCATCCCCGGGCTTTTGCACGCGCGCACAGGGCGCCTTGGAGCCGAACCAGGGCGGAACCGGAGCTTCCGTTCCGGAAAAGTGGCGGACGAACCGGCGGAGCTAGGCCCCGGTCCCAGGCTGCTGGTTTCCATTGAACATGAACCGGTTCATGAGAACCTGCTCCGAATTGCGGAAACCGGTTCGACGTGTTCACTGATAAGCGGGGTTGAACCGGGCCTAGCTCCGGTTCGTTCGTCACTTTTCCAGAGCGGAAGCTCAGGTTTGGTCCTTGTTCGGCTCTTGTTTAGAGGAAGGCGCCCTGGTTGCATATATCGGAGATTGCTGATTTCTTTCCAGCTTTCCAACGTCGTCCGCAATTTTCTTCGATCAGTTTGTCATGCCCTGTGAGACCCGGCCCTGACTGTCCTTCGTCACTGATTTGACCGGCCGAGAAAGCTTTCGCATGCATTCCATGTCGCTGCGGCCTTTCGCAACTGTAGTAAGCGGCGACAAAGATACTCGCAGGATCTGCTTTCTGGTCGCCCAACCTTGCCATGTGTCCCCGCACGGCGTCGTCAATCTGATTATTATCGAACCGTTCGGAGTTCTGAAAGGGACCTAACCATTAGAAGCACTAGTACGGCCGAAGTACAGGAAAGCGAAGTGGGGAAGAATCTAAGGCCGCGGGAGAATCGGACTGATCCCGCCGTTACAAGATTGGTTCCAGATTCTGGAAACCAAGACGCTATCTCTTCTTGTTTGCTATGATCAATGCAAATTAGCCCACTAACTACGATATCCTTTTTGAGACGCTAGGAAAATCACCTGTGAGCATTCACGACGTACTTAGCTGATGAAGAGCTGTAGATTTCACTGAAAGCTCGAGCGAGATTGTTAGCGGAGACTCGTCCAATGGAGATGGGTCTGATAAAGCATGCCATCGTATGCGCTTGCAGGAGGCACGTGGCGCTCGCTCAGCGTGGAAGGAAACAAGAACCTCAAGGAGTGGATCCGTCAGATGATTCTGCAACAAGTGGGCACCTTTTCTTTTAAAACCCTTATTCTAGTCTGATAGCCTTCTTGCTTGTCGCGAATCCTGACATAGTCCAGCTATGTTGGAGGCGTTGGGCACAACCCAAGTGTTTCTCTAACAATTGCTTATAAGCATTTTAGTTTCATAGGTACGTCTTTGTTTCTCCAATTGATTATGTTACAGAAGAATACTCCCATCCTTCATCCTCTTTCAACAGACGCCTTCCCAGAACCAGAAGGTTAACGTTCTGTCCGCACCGATGCATGCTAAGTCGATTCAGCGCTCAGCAAAGCGCTCTCTTCAGACGAATCCAATTTGTTTTCCTTATTCAACAAATTCATTTACTGGTAAGCATCTCCCTAGGACCTGAACGTCCCCAGGCGTACTCCCCAATCAGATTCTCACACCGTCAAACTAGGCTGAGCACAAAACTGCTTTCTGCAGGCCACGGTGATGGGCGTTAACGCGACGATCGATTTCTTCGACGACAAGCACCCGACGTATCCCCCGACCGTCAACGATCCCCGGGTGGCCAACTTTGCGCGGGGCGTCATTGAGAAGTGAGAGCGCCGACTACAGAATATTAGGCCGCTGTAATCGAACAAGATCAAAGCCCGATGTTTTGGCGTTCTTTTTGATATAGTGATTTGTAAGCCGGCCAGTTAACGGTAAGCATTCTGGGGTTCTCTAAAACCCTAACCCAAACATCACCGCACCCGTACCCATCCTAACCCCCTAAATAATCGTACCCGTTCCCGTCACCCTTCACTGCCTATTACTGTTCGCTACCTCGATTTGAGTTCTTATTGTCCCTTAATCCGAGCCTCGAATTCAGTAATTATTAGCCTCCTTGGCAGGCAAATTTTTCTGTGTGACACTACCCCATTGTCAATGTACGCTCATCTCTTCCTCTCTACAGAGTCCTCTCTTTCTCTCTACAGAGTCCTCGGTCCGGAAAACACCAAGGAGGGCTATCCGCAAATGGGTGCGGAAGACTTCGCCTTTTACACCGAGCGAATCCCGGCGTGCTTCTTTCTTCTGGGAGTCAGGCATGAGGACACCGTGACACCGGGGCCGCTTCACACTCCCAGGGTGAGCGGTTCTGATCCCGACTGTTGTGAATTATACGGCGTTAACAATGGCGCGGATCGAAATCAGAAGTTGGCATCCGCCCATCACGTTTGGATGCAACTGTCAACCGAAAAGCGCTTGAAGCTTCAGCCTCAGTTTGGTACATGAAGGTACACTACATGCACTTTGTTGACTAGTACAACCTCTGTTCATTCCGTTCTGGAACGCATGACGGGTTAGAGCTCTCTTATCGCTTTTGAGGACCACAAAGGGTTGAGCTCTCGTGCATATTGGTGGGCAGTGCAAACCTAACGAATCGGCTTCGAATTTCACTACGTGCAGTTTTCTTTGGACGAAGCTGCTCTTCCCATTGGCGCGGCCATCCACGCCAATCTGGTTCTAGACTTCTTGAACGAGGGAAGCGGGGAAGATGGCAAGGAAACCGGGGCCGTGAAGGAAGAGCTGTAAATTAACATAAAGATAACATCAAGTAGCTTGTGAAAACCACAACGTAGCTTTTGCTGCATAAATAGTTGGCCCAGAGTCTCCGCTACTAGTGTCAAACGTCGAGATCGTTGTGGAACAAAAAGCAGTACGCATGTGATTGGCTCTCTCGTAGGATTTGAAAGCGTCACCTAATCAATTACAGAAGCGTCAGGCCCTTTTGTGGGTTGTTTTGACAGGTCTGTCCATTCGTACGTGGTTTATCTCTTGCATTTCCCGCAGACGTGCTGGCGCGAAGCAATACTTGGAGGCAAATACACTCTCCAGGATCCATTTGCATTCAGCCCAAGCAAGCACTCCGACTTCAGGATTTTCAGCTCAGCTTGGCTCCTTCACTGCATGTTAGTGCAGTTTCGCTTCTTCTGTCGAGTTGCTTGTACAGCGGCGGCTCTCTGGCAGTGACACTCACATGCATAACCATGTTCACGTCAACCGCCTGCCGTGACATGGTTTATCGCGGGACTACGTCAAACGTTCCAGACCAACTCCGCACACGGCGCATGAGAGCCGGCTCGAACAAATTCACATACCGCCGCGAGGCATTTGCGAGGGGCTCAAATGGGCTGGTAACTGAACGCACTTGCTGCAATCATAATACAATATTGCCGAAAACGCATTTGATCATTTGAGATATGAGATTGCAAGTCAGTCTCTGAGTCAGTGGCAGCTGGTGGCGCCCAGTATGCAGTGAGGGGCCCACCCGGCGCCATTTTAACCTTTGTATGGCCGATACAGCCGCGCAGTGACACAATCGCGAATCAAGCTGAGCACCAACGAAAGGGGCGGCTAGTCGACCTGCCCGGCCACATCATAAGGCCGTTGCCCGGGCCGCGGCCAAGCACACTAACAAGTGTGTGACACTGACTGATATTAAGTACGAGTGACTCTATCAACGGCCGCCGTACAGTTGTCGGCATACTTTAATCGTACAACAATTCATGTCAAATCATTTCAATGCTACTGCATGGCTGTCGGACAGTGAGCTAGAGGCCCCGCCTGCAGTGATGAGTGACCGTCATGGGAACCAGACGGGACTCGTGACTTAAAATTACGCTTCCCAATGTTTATCAATGTTACACAGACGATGTGACATACAGTGATCGGACTGTTTGAGACAAAGTAGATAAGTATTATTTTTGAATGCCAATCTAAGCACATCGGGTCGTGCTTAGAGAATGATATCTTGTTCAACTGCCTGATCGAAAGCTTAGTGAGTTTGCGTCCTCCACTGACAAACGCTGGGCTGAATCACACTGACTACTTATTGACGGCCGTCGGCCTACGAGTTGATACGGTACGAGGAGGCTTGCAACTGGAGTTTCTTGCGCCATCTTGCCAAGCTGATCAGGGTCCATTGTGTCTCTTTATATGTTCGGTTGTGGACTGCACCTTCAGTCTCCACTTACGAAATTAATAGATGAGCACCACTAAAATGGACTCGTCCCGTCATATCAGTGCTAGGTGTGCCCAAATGTTACACGACAACGGCTATACACTATACAACCCTTGACAATCTTTGCAGGCAAGTGCTTCTTGATTCAGAAATCCACTCTTTCTCAAACCGGGGTACTTTAGACCCAGAACGACCGACATCAGTCGCACTTTCCCTTTTCCTCCCGTCAATCAAGAGACACAACGCGTAGACGGTAACTAAATCGATCAAACCCACGTTGGCCTCCCCCACTGTCTGTCGAAAACATCCCTCAACCAGATACGTATCAGATGAGCATGGATATAGAAGCTCTCTAACCCAGCACGCTTACCGAAAAACCCGCGCGAAGTTCAGTTCTCACAGAAGCGCCACCTCGCGGTTGAACACCCAGCTGAACTTGCCCACACGTGCGGGGGATCCTTTCTTCGCCCTGCCGAGCGTTCTTTCCGCGAGGCGACGGACGCGGTCGGGCAGTTTGCAGAGGTACTGCTGCGCGGCTTCGGCCTCGGGGCTCAAACCCCTTCGCTCGCGCACCTTCCAGTAGCGCACCAGATGCTCGACGATGTCGGCGTAGTTGAAGGAGGTGTAGACGCCGCACCGCTGGGCGACCTGGAAGGGTAAGGGAAACGGGTTACGGGTTAACCCCGCTGCCTGGCCATTCAAGGCTGTTAGAATGGGTTACAATTCGTTGAGCTTAACCTCTTTTGCTCGCGCACCTTCCAGTAGCGCACCAGATGCTCGACGATGTCAGCGTAGTCGAAGGAAGTGTAGACGCCGCACCGCTGGGCGACCTGAAGGTTATGGAACGGGTTAAGGTTCAACCCCGCTGCCTGAAACGGTGATAGGAATCCGTTACGATTCGCTCTGCTTGACCCGGCTGTTGGCGCACTCTTCTTCTAGCCCTACCGACGCTGAAATGTGGTGGAGACACCGCACCGCTGGAACAATAAGAGAACCGGGTTACGATTTGCTCAGCTTAATCCCGCTGCTTGGGCGAACTCGAGGGGTACTAGAATTGGGTTGAGACTGGCTCGGCTGAACCCCACGGTTCTTACGCTCTTCGTGTATCCCAGATGCTATCCAATGTCTGCTTACCGACACTTTGAACGGTGCACTCGAGAAGCGTCTCCTGACAGACCCACTTCGTCGAGGTCCGAAAACAAGGGACTCTTGCCGTGCTTTGCGTATCAGATCAGGACACGAACAGGTAAAACGGAGGGCAGAAACGAGAGCTTCGTAAGAGCCCCACTCCGCAGATGTCCTGAAAACTCGTGCAGCTCTCGCAGTTCTCATTGTCCACTGCGAGAACACGCAAAACAGTACGTAGGCGGGAAATCTGCATCGTCTCAATAAAGCACATTTGTGCAAAGCCATGCGCAACAACGAGCTGCCAGAGACAGTCTTGGGAGCCGTGAGGCCTTACACGCTTCGAGCCGACGCCAGCACTACGGCCTCCGGACGCTTTACCGATTCTCCATCCTAGGAGATCTGCGCGTTGACGCCAGCAGAGCTTCTCAACAAAACGACTGTGCACTACGTCTTTACAAACCGCACCACCTCGGACTGTTCTTGATTTATTTTTGGGGGGTAGGTAATCCTTTTTTTTTCCGGTGGAGACGCGCGGACTCAAAGCGGGAGCATCATGCGGGAACAGTCCACGAACAGTCCACGAACAGCGTTGGACTCTCCCCGTCCTTACCGTCCAGCTTTCGGGGCACGGGTGACTCTGGGACTTAAAGGCGTGTGACTTAAAGCGTGTTACTTAAGATAGGTGCCCAGGAGACGGGTGGGGTTGGCAGGGTGGTTAGCCTGGGTTCGCGTGCGGAGCGCGTGCTATAGTTGTGTTAGGGGTTCAGTTTACGTGTCCGGGTAAAATGAATGTTAGGTCACATGCCAAGGTAAGGCGAGAGTTATCAGTATGCACGGGTGGGGTTAGGCAAAGGCTTATGGTGGTGCGGGTGCGGAGAGCGTAGAATTTTGGTTTAGCCCTTCATCTAGGTCAAGGGCTTCTAGTTCAGAGGGCTTATTGACGACCGAAGCGAGAAGTAGAAGATACTCATGAGCGCCCACCTCGGAGTAGTCCATGAACAGAGTCGGGCTCTCGCCGTCCTGCATCATGTGAGCAGGCATCACCATCTGCTTCTTCATCATGTCGGCGAAGGCCAGGATCGTGCCGTCCGGATCCAGGTCCATCAGTTTCGTGACGATACTGCAGACAGGTAGGGGATCTCTTTGTCGCATCTGTCAGGTCAATGATTTTCGTACTTGCAGCAGATTTGCCGACTGGGAAATAGCTCTCGACGTTCGTGGTGTGAGATTTCCGTTACGCCCTCCCGCTTGAAGAAAAAACTTCCGCCAGGTTGAAGTAACGTTGAACTACGTCGACCTCCTGCGAGGCAAGCTCGCGGACAGCTTGGTTAGGTTGAGACGGCATCGTAACCAGAAGCTTTTTTGATAGGCTGGAGTACCGCCGAACGGTTAGGAACCAGTCATTCCAATTGTAACAGTATGCAATGGCGTTGACTCGAACCCAAGGGTCTGCTTTACTGTGTCGGGAAAGAGCGACTTCTGACTTCTATCTGTCACATTCCTAAGAAGCTAGTCATGACTGCGGCAACCTTTACCTTAAGGGGAATAAGGAGAGTCGGTACTTCACCAGGCTACAGTAATCTGGCCTTCTTGTGAAAAAGGATAATCCTACTCTGGGATTCTCTAGGTCTTCCGACCTTCCCTCCTCAAGCCGTTAAACCTAGCTTTTTGGTGATCGAACAAGGAATAGCCAGAGTGACATCACTAGAAGAGAACCAATAGGCGTTATGCTTTTTGGGAAAACAACCCAAGGCTTGTTCGTGCTCCCTCCGGAACGTCTTCGAACAAAAATACACTGAAAGGAGATCGGAAGGTGAAGATAAGTACCTGCCATACGCTATCTCGTGCCGCTTCTCGTCGCCGGCGACCACGCCGCAGATCTTGGCCAGCCGATGGTCGCCAAGCTCCTGCGCGCGCGCAGCCATGACGCGGTGCGAGAGAAACGTCGCACGCTCCACGAAGGTTGCGTAGACGAAGCCCAAGTAGGGATTGTTCTCCGTCTTGGGGTCCTGGAAATAAAGGTGGAACGACGAAATTTGCAGAACTGATCGTAGAAGCAAGATTGAAAGCGTCACGAAGGCGTCCAAGTAATGCTTAGTCCCCGTCTTGAGGTGACTGCGAATGGGTGCACAACTCTGATTGCAAGAGGGAGAATCGTATCCGTAACGGAAGTTCCTTAGGATCTTCTGTATGCGGACCTGTCGATCTGCATCGCGTGAAAAAAATCAACGGCATGTGTGTCTCTTGGGCCGAGGAGAGGGTTTCGTCGCCCCAATTTATGGCAGCGCCCCTAAGATCTCTCCTCAAGGTCTTTCTTGGGCAGCAAAGACTTTTCCCCTCCCGCAGAGATGACGAGGAGGTTACTGAAGGGCGAAGCCTCAAGAGCGCTTCAAGTCAAGCAAGATTCTCAGATCAACGGCTACATCTCCGTTCCTGACGTCACTTGGATGGACGGCCACGCCATCATGCCGGTAGGTACCAAAGCCTGGGGCCGAACGTCATCTGGTACATACCTGCCTGACCTGGGGCCGACTCGAGCCGCGCCGACGGAGCGCGAGTTCCTCAAAGGCTGCCAATCTAGTGATTGTTGGGAGGACTCGTCGTTGTATCGAAACACGAATCCAAGATTCAGGTGCAAAGCGGCTGCAAGTCAGGGCTCACCATTCCGGAGTTGACGAGGTACTGCGACGTCTTTTCAAGCGCGTGCATGTTGACTTGACCGCTCAGGTAAAGGTATTGGTGAAGCACTTTGCCGTGGCGGCTCTCTTCTCCGGTCCAGGCGCGGGTCCATCTGCAAACGGAACGCCATGGCCTATCAGCGGAAACAGAACGGAAGATGCTGTGACCGGAATTGGAGCGGCCGGCAGCCAACAAGGACGGTAACGGAACGGGAGAGAAACCGAGCGGAAGTCACCATAAGCGGAGATAGAGCGGAAGCCACAATTGACGGAAACAGCGCCGACGGAAAGAGAGCGGAAACTATTGTGAACAAGAAGAGAGCCGGAGCCACAAGAAAAGAAAGCGAAGACCATGAGCGGATTCAAGACGGAAGCCACGATGATTGGAAACAGAGCAGAGATACAGCGGGAAGGTCTGCAACGGAAGCAGAAGGAAGCCATCCATATATACGAAGTGGAGGCCACTAGGGAACGGAAAGAGACCGGAACCGCCATGATTGAAACCACAGCGGAGACGCTAGTTTCATCGATAACGGAGCCGAAGCGGCATAATGGACAGAAGCAGAGCGAAGGGGCCATTGTGAACGGAAATGAAGTGAGAGTTGCTGTGAATGGAAGCAGCGCGGAAGCCACAGCGATTGGGAACAGAGCGGAAAAGGCTGCGGACGGAAAATAGAGCGGAAGCCACCCTGTCGGAACGAATCCGGAAGCTACTAGGAAGGATGCAGAGCGGACGGGCGAGATTTGGCAAGCTGGAATCGGTCCAGATAAGTTCCTGTATGGGGGCCTCGTCATCTGCCCGGTTTCATCCCCTTAGGCTAACGGCAGCTTGGCGTGCTAGATGTCAAAGATTTAAACAGTCCACAATCGTTGGTTTACAGGCAACATGTCTCTCCGAACGTCTGATTCTCATCATCTGAAGGTTTTCCTACAGCAGAAGTATGCAGAAACATGGAACGGGACAAAAGAAAAGGGTCAAAGTCGAGGCGGCTGTTCTTCAACCTCACCTGGCCCAGGGGGTCATATTCGCCCCGGTACTGACCCCCAAGCAAGCTAGCCTGCTGGCATCTAGGCATACTCGCATTCATATTCTCTCAACAAGAATTCTAACATCCTGAGAAACCACCAAAAGATCGACAACCTCGCAGCTGACACTCTCGGCACTCTCACCTGGCCCAGGGGGTCATATCCGCCCCTGAATCGTCCCGGGTGCCGTCGAGCGTGTTGAGCATGATGGAGGAATTAGGGAGGCCTTCTTCGGACACCGTGTTCCCCGCCAGGCACACCCAAAAGTCGTCCGGAAGTTCTGCGGACCGCGTGCGTAGGTCCGTCACTTGCTGGACGAAGTCCTCCGCCGAGGAGCTCGGAAGCAGGTCCTGCCATAGGAGATGAGTGGTGAGCATCAGAAGCGATGAGGAACAATGATTCACGAAACGTGTTTCAAGGATGATCAACAAAGTCCTCAGCTGACGAGATTGGAAGAAGACCCTGGCGTAAGGATGCAGATGAGCAACGTTTTACTTAAGGTTTGCTATTGCGCATGAGGGCCCCTCGATTGCTAGACAAAGTCCTCCGCCGAGGAGCTCGGAAGCAGGTCCTGCATTAGGAGATGAGTGGTGAGCATCATAAGCGATGAGAAACAATTGGATTAGAGGTTCACGGAACGTGTTTTGAAGGACCGTCAGGTGATCAACAAAGTCCTCTGCTGAGGAGCTTGACAATAGGTCCTGGCGTAAGGGAGGCAGAATGGAGTGAGATGAGCACCGGCTTCTTGAGGTTTGCGCACTGTGCGCGCAGGTTTGTCGTGTGCTGGACAAAGATCTCCACCGAAGGAGTTCGGAAGCAGGTCTTGCCATAAGAGATAAGTAGTGCGAATAAGGAGACGAGGACCGACGGCTTGTTCAAGGTCTACTTGAGTACTCGCTAAGATACTGGACGAAGTCGTCAATGGAGAACTTCAAAAGCTGGTTCTGCGGTCAGGAGATAAACGGATCTGGAGCCACAAAGACGAGCGTGTTAAAAGAAACGTGAACAAACCAAGCGTCATCAGGACAAGAAGGATTGAAAGGACGTGTCCAATTTTGGCATGACACGGATTGAATCGCCGCTGTCAGCCTTATTGGCAGCTGCTACTCGCTCCTAAGACTCTATGCATAGTGAAACACGGACTTAGAGCACAGAGTCACGACGTGATTTTGAAGCGTCCCTTCAAAAGAGTTGAAATTAAGATAGTTTTTCTGGTTTCACCACTCCTTGCAGTCTGACGAAACTCTTTGTGCGTCGAGTCTGCCAAGAAAGCAAGGTAAAAGGGTCTACCAAGACGAGTTGTTCCAAAAATGAGATCCACTCTTGGACAAAGGTAGCAAGCTGACCCGATCCTCGAGAAGATCACAATAAGCCGAGATAATAATGAGTTAACCGCAATGAAGACGGGGTGGGGGTAGTTTGGTGGTTAGGGTGGGTATGGGTGCGGAGCATGCATGTTTCCGGGTTAGGGTTCCAGTGTTAATCGGAGCTTATATTTTCTTGGCTTATTATCAGCTTTCTCGAGTTTTATTGATCCAACCTCACCGAAGGCTGCCAGTTGAACTCAACCCGGTGCTCGTATCTTCCCAGCAATTCCTCCTCCACCCAACAGTCCATTGACCGAATGACCTCCATTTGCTTGGCGGTCGTCGTGTGTGCAGGAGACGCGGCTTTAGGGGGCCGCTTCAGGCTGGGAGTACCGCTGGTACTAGCAGGATCGCTTTCTTGCTTGGGGCTGATCTCCCTGCAAAGAGACGGGGAGCCTAGTCACCTTCTGCTGAGGCTTTCTCTGCTCCAATCGACTCCGACGTTTGTTCCCGACTGTTTCCTTCTGGCAGTGGGGCGTTACAAGCTGGGAGCGTTGCTGGCGGAAATTCCTCAAATTGTCTCCCTGCAGATAGACGGAGGTCTTTAAACTTGACCAGGATTGAGATTGACATGGCTCCAGATTGACCCCGGATTTCTGATCAGGCGTGACTGTTTCCTTCTTTGTGGGCATTCTTCCCTGTCGGCAAAGAAGCAGAGCTTAGTGAGCTTTTCAGCTGAGGCTTTCCGGACTCTGGTTTAACCCAACGCCTTTTCCATGCCCAACGTCTCCTTCTTGTGGTGCACGCTGGCAGAGTCGCTTTCTTATCTGGGACTGACCTCCCTGCAAATAATAGGACTGCTCAGTAAGCTTCGACTCGAGCTTTCTACGCTCTATAACGCTCCTTGACGCTCCGCTTGACAACAGATCTCGCCTCTCACTCACCAGAAGTGCATTACGACATGCCCACCGGACCCCTGACTTTGCACTCCACCTTTCAAAGGAGGAACAATCCAACCCAATGAAAGCAGTCCACCTCCAAAGAAGATCAGGACCTATCCCTTGGCCATCATTTGCACGTTGCTTTTAAGTCACACCCAAAGCAGCGCTGAGCTTCCCCAGTAGATATCATCTGAGAGATGACTAGAGATTTAGTATCCCAGCTCAGAGATTCAGAACCCAACTAATGTTCTCATGCAAGGAGCCCAAAAAGAAGGAAACTATCGACGCACCGGGCAGGGGCTGTTATCGCAGTCACCGTAGCAGAGACATGCGGGCGGTGTCTCGTTCGCAGTGGGGCTGCCTGACAACCAGCGCCGGATGGAACCTTTCTGGAGCAGAAGACAAGATCCGCTGACTGAGCCGCAAGCTGCAGCAGGGTCCTTGGCAGGTGTGCTCGGCACGCACTCGTAGCTGACTCCATAGTGGGTGTGAATAGGCTCCCTTGCTAATTGGGAATGGCAGGTTTTACTGCTCGGGAAGGTTTTAACACCGAGATCTTTGGGGGTGGGGCTCAGCAGCAATCCCAACTATCTCTAAGCAAATCTTCCAACGGTTATTGTGAACCTATGAATTGCTTTGGAACCAGCTCAGATTAGGGGGATCCCCGCAGCACGAACCTGCAAAAAAGGGCGTTGTTTCAAGTTCTGAATTCCATTTCAAGCTGAATCGCATTCATCACTCAAGTGCCTCTTAGGCTGCCGGCTCATTATGTTGAGGGAAATCGGTGCAAAGTCAGCTGAAAAAAGGTGCAAGGACCGGCCGTATTTGAGCCACTGCCATATATCCTTGATGTTGAGAAATCAGAACGCGTATCAATGTACGAAGATTGTCAGGTGTTGGGGCAATCAGGCTTTGAATCTGGAGCAAAAATGCCGGAATCAACTTGTATTCAGAAAGTTGCCTAGCTCCGGCCAATTTGGAGAAGACATCTTCTTTCACACCATAGCTGCCTGCATAGGCCACCTGCTTTTGTTCCAAAAGCAAAATTTCTGAGAGCACCTGAACAACGCTGTGATCGCTCGTCGATTGGTTTTTATTTGGTGTGCAGCTCTCATGCAAGAGAACCCAGATAGCCTAGCAAACCTGCATTGGAACATCCTCCGGGCTTGTCAATTCACCACAAAATCAGCATTGATTGGTTGATATCAAAATAACTGACCTCACTTCTTGCAACATCAACATAGCAATTCCAGTATATTGGTGGGGTGCATTTTTCTTTGTTCTCTCAAGACTTTCTGAAAAGGGAGTGTAGCAGCGCACGCAAAGTGTCAGCCCAGAGGATGAGGGCCTGAGACACCTCACCACTTTGGCAGGAACTCTTGCTCGGTGCCGTCAATATCCAACCTCGCTGGTCCAATGGGTGGTTGGCTGCAAAACCAATGCGGCACATACCTACAGCTGTGCAGAGGTTATTCCAATGTGTTACAAGTCAATAGCTCTGTTTCACGTTCTCTTTGTCCGGAAATGGCTGTTTCTTGCGAGAGTCTGATCATAAATGGCTGGAGAGGGCTTGAGAAAGCGGCAGTTGCGGCCAAACCCTGGAAAATGGAGGTATTGAAAGACCATCCGCCAGTGATGCATCATGGGGGCAGGAATCAGGATGCATAGAAAGAAAATCTTCCGAGCTGGTACGTACTCCAGCAGTGGAATGCGCGAAACCCGTGTACCGGTCGGTACGTATTTGCCCTGTATTCGATGGGTTTAGCGATTGGGGTTTGCGTAAACGGAGATGGACATCCATAGCTTATGTCGGAGGATCGAGTACCCGGCCTCGAATATTGACAGCCAGAACCGGGAAGAACATATAGCGTATGGATCAGGGTCTGCCCCTGCATGTTGACATCACCATTGACGGACTGAACGGCCCAAGCGGTACCTAGTTCAATCATCAATGACATAGGTAGGTACGGCGGAACATCCAATCAATTTGCAGACGCAGACGCAGAACTCTATGACGTACGGTACCTATTTATTCGTGATGTGATTGGTCGTATGTTTGGCCGAGGCGCCTTTCGGCCGCGGAACCATGGCCCATGGCGTCAGCAGACTCACAGCACTGACGACGTTCGCTTGTGATTGCACAATGCATCCAGTCACCAATGTGAAAGCGCCGGCCTATACTGCTGCGGCGCAACTTAAATACTGCAAGCGGACCAGCTGCAGGAAGGTTGATTTCTTTGCCGCCTCATAATACCTAAGTTGATAGTCACTCACGCTGAGGCGGACAGCTGGAAAGCAACCTTCCGATTTGATCAACTTGCGAGGAATAGGACTCAAGTTTCTACACCTTACTTGGTCTCGTGCAAGACGCAGCATCCTGGGTGTCCTGTTTCTGATCATATTGCAACAGTGCAATATCTTGATACCGGTGTCGTTTATCTTCGCCGCTCTTTCCCCTGAAGCTCAGCATTGGTCCAATCAAATCGGTGCACCGGGCAAACCCCAAATGGATCAGGCTACGATGTCGATGCGCTTCCCTCACAGCTTGTCGCGCTACGATCTTCTTCACAGCTCCTCATGGAGCCCTACAGCAGACCAAGTTATCTCAGCCATCCGCTCCCATTGGCTGAGCTTCTCCTTTCTCGCCACTCTAGTTGCGCTGCTTCTCCATGCGTATCTCACCTTCTTTCACCGTCCGCTGCGCCTGATCAGACACTTTCAGAAGCAGGGGATACGGGGACCACCCTTTCGGCCAATATTGGGGCACATGCCGGAAGTGCTGGCTGGAATCAAAGAGACGGCGCAGACGGGGGTGGTGTTTCCCAACCTGCTCAAGTGGCGGGAGATGTATGGTGAGTCTTGCAGCTGATTGATAGTGTTTGAATGAAGCAGCTGCACTTGTTTCTGTAGCTGGCTTATAGTTTGTTCCTCATCAGTATCAGAGGCAGAGGCCCAAGACGGCAGGACATACACCCCTATGCGAGGAGTTGCCTTTTGCCTCTAAGCCAGAAGGCAGCTGAGATCTGAGCAACATGGCATCCCAGAAAATGCACGAAAGCGACTCCGAGGATTTCCGTTATATTGAACATACATCAGTCACAGAGAGTGGTGGGATTTCTATAGTAAGAGCTCATTTCAGCAGAGTTTTAGTTCAGTACACCAAGCGCTGATGTAGGCCACTGCAAATTGCTTGGAGTGACAGGGGCAGCTAGCAAGGGACTTTTCCAGTTGGGGAGGACGTTTGCCCCTTTGGCTGGCTGCCAATCGATACGAGGAACAAGTCTGCAAGCACTCAGCAGACTTGTCTACAAGCACTCTCGTGCTGTGCTAATGAATGTGTAGTTTTGCAGCCCGTGGATGATTATCAGTGTTTTGGCATGGCCGTGTCTTGTCTGCAGACAGCGCGCCCCAAGCATACCCCCAATCTAAACTGCCGAATATATTCTTCTGTTGTACAGACATCTGCTTGGTCAACAACCTATCGTCTGTGATTTGCCCAGAGAAAGCATCATACGCTGGAAAATCATAAGTTATAGGTGCCCGACTGATGTGGCATGTCTTCTGGCTCCTCGTAGGCCAACAGCACCGATTTACGCATTGCCATCGCACACTCTGGGCTGAAATGCCGATCCACTTCCTCCACATTTCTCCCCCATTTTCACAACCTATACCTTAGACTTCGATCCACCTCCAAATCAGACCCAGCTCGACTTTGTTCAAGCGAAGGTTGGAGACCTGCTCTGTGGGCACTCTAACCTTCCAGTGCTATCTAAATCCCCGAATTGGGCTACTCATCGACCCATATCTTAACCTATTTCTACAGGAGTTACCTGTTCCTTCAATCTAGATGCCCCCCTACTTCAGGCGACGTATTGTATTGACAGATGACCACCCACTTGCTCTCCTCTACTGTGAGCTCCAAGCAAACTTGATTTTCAACTGCAACCACCCCCTGACTTTAAAGATTTTTTCCATGAGCCGGTTCCCTGTCTTGGATCCTTAACCAGAAACACTAACCCACGGTTTATCTTCTGCAGGTGACGTGTTCTACTATCTAATGGGCACCCAAGTTCGCCTCGCTATCATGACCCCGGAGCTGGGTCACAAGATCCAAACCGCGACTAGCGGCCCAAAAGGCACATTCCAAAAAGACGCGCACACCCGCCAAGCGTATGAGCCGCTCCTGGGCAGCTACGGCCTCGTTCTGGCGGCCAATGACGTCTGGGCACGTCAGCGGAAGCTAGCCAACCCGATGTTCTACCATTCCAAAATTAAGGTAAGGGTTCGCATCGACCGAAAAGCTGCAAAAAGCTCTCCAGATTCTTGAGCCAATCAAGTGGTCCAACAGATTCACGTGGTTAGAAAGGTACCAACCAAATCAGTCTTTCGGCGTGAGAAGTATCGGACCTCCTCCTTGGCGGTACTACAAAGTCGACGCTGGGGCCCAAGTAGGTTTTCGGTCGACGCGCCCCTTAAGGGAAAAAACAATCCATTGTGCAATACAGCTCCTGTTCATATCTGAAGTGGCCGGGTTCGTGGTTTGAAAGACGGATATGAAACTTATGCCAGACGATCAGCGAAAGTGCATCAGAGCTTTTCCGCCGCCTTGTATGCTGTAAGGACGGTTGGCATCCTTCGTGCCTCTTTGTGTCAACTCTTAATCAGATTTAGGGAGCTGTCAAAACATGTCAGGCAAGTAATTACAAGTGAGAACGAGACATGAAAAGTCCTGAGGCAATCTCGTTCGATCTCTTGAGAGATTGCTCAGTGACCGATGAGTTTCGCTTCTCTGACGGGTCTACTTTGTGCAATCTTGTTCATGGTCAGCTTGCCTTCCCAGGTCAGGAAACTCTGCCGCCAACGCCTTTGCAACGCCTTGCAAACCCCAAGTTCGGGTCCGCTCCGATACTCTTTTCCGAAGAAAGCAGCATTGAAAGAGCTGGTCAAAGAGTAAAGCAGACAGTCACGGTTCGCCCCTGAATCACGCTTGATCAGGGCTTGCGTATCACACCCGAACCAATCCTTGTGTCGTAATTCCGCGACCGATCCGCGTTTGCTCAACCGAATGTTCTTCACACTATTTTCTCCGTAGGACTTGTTTTGGCTCATGGCTGCCGGGTTTTGACACACGAAACTCATCGTACGCAGGGATACGAAGCCAACAGCAGACTGTGTTTCCTTGTCAACGAAGCAGCCACCTTTAATTTCCTTTCGAAGGGACATGCGCGAAAAGCTGTCCAGCTCTTTAAAAGGTAGACCCGCGAGACAATCTAACAATAATGAAAATCTACCTCGTTTCCGCAGGATATGTTCCCAATCATGGCGGAGTGCTCGCAGGAGCTCATCCGAAAGTGGGGCGACAAGATTGACACAGCGGGGGGCGGGAAGGTCGAGATCGAAGTTTGGGCCGAGTTTGGCGCCTTGGCACGTGACATTTTGTGCGGAGCCGTTTTCGGGGATCCCCGAGGTGCGACGGCGGCTTATACCGGCCAGGATATTTATGGAGATTTCGGGCAGCTTATGAAGGACATGATCGCGCAACTGCTGAGCTTGGGACCGAAGCTGATTCCGGGGTTCAAGTGAGCAGGTTTTATTTTGGAAAGCACGCTGGCTTTCCAGAGAGTGACCGCGAGTCTTTGAGGTGGACGCGAAGATCGTGGAGACAGCAGGTTACGGGGCATCTTAATCTGGAAAGAACGCTCGCTTTCCAGAGACTGACCGCGAGTCTTTCAAGAGATTCCAGTGGTACGTCGGACTTAATTTGCCCTGTCGCTTGGTATAATCGTCGATCTTTGCGCCTATCTGTCTGGGATGCGAAATTCATGAATACCCCCACGTTTGTCGTGTAGCCAAGCTATCTTTGGAACCACTGCACTTCCGTTTTCGGGCTCTTGATACCTCAAAATGGGAACCTCTGTTCTAAAACTCTGTCGGATGTCAGACTCTATTGTCAGACCTCAGACCTCACGAAAGTCCTGCGTCTTTTGCCGTCTCGTAGCGCTCAGTGCGCGGTTGAGGCAGAGATACTTCTGTCGAGATGAGGCGTTCCTAGTCTCCTTTTTGGCGTGTCGCTGAAAGCTGTGTTTACTAAAAGAGCACATTCCGATGACGTAAACGGCTACTTTTATTTACAGCTTTCCCGCGGAGCTTGTCAAATCCCCCTGGAATCACGACGTAAACTGACTCCCTTCTTCAGCTTTTTCTGATGGTCGTGATTCCCTGATCATCGGGAACGCCGTCCACAATCCAGACACCACCTCACTTCTATTACAACTCCTCAGGTACACTCCGACGGAACGTAACCGCCGGATCGCGGCCCTCTCCGCGCGCGTCCACGACATGCTGAACAACAACACCTAAACTGACGGATGGAAAGCGTTTTCGCTAGCGCATGAGTACCTTTCACCCGTCCTAGACCCGATTTTTTTCGTTTCCAGGTACATTGGGACGGAACGGCATCGCCGGATCGCGGCTCTTCGCGCGCGCGTTCACGGCATGCTGAACAACAAGACTTCAATTGGCTTATGGAAAGCGTTCCGCCAGCGATCGAGGACCCTTTCAACCATCTTTCAAATCCAAAAATCTCCTCGAAAGTCAGGTAACATTCCGACGGGACGGAACCGGCGGATCGCGGCCCTCCGCGCGTGCGTCCACGCCTTGCTGAACAGCATCATTGAAGTGGCGCCTGGAAAGCGTGCCGCCAGCGAGCAACAACCGTATGTGCTCCTTTTTCCCGTTTCCGATCCGTCTTTACTTGTATTCAGGTACATTCCGACGGAACGGAATCGGCGGATCGCTGCCCTGCGCGCGCGCGTCCACGGCATGCTAAACAGCATCATTGAAAATCGGCGCCAGGCGGGCGCGAAGGCGGCCGCGGCGCACGACGGCCACGCCGAGTACGGGGACGACCTTTTGGGGCGACTCCTGGCTGCCACCGACGAAGAAGGTGCGCACCATTGTCTTTTAGTTCTCTTCTCTACTTCGTGTTTGATTGGTAATGCCAGAACCACCTTTTGGGGCGACTCCTGGCCGCTACCGACGAAAAAGGTGCGTTCTCTATCCTTTTTCTCCACACTCTAGTTCTCCTTTTCGGGCGTCTTTGGCCGCTGCCGACGAAGAAGGTGCGCTCCGTCCTTCCTTTTTCCCTTTCCTCGCGTTCTCCTCTTGCTGGCGCGACCTCTAGGAGCGGCTTTTGGCTGCTACCGATGAAAACAGTGCGCCCGTGGATTCGCTTTTCCCCTCCTCCAATTCATTTCGTGACATTAATCTTATCTCCTAATTTGGGTGGGTGCGTTTTGAGTGACCTTGGAAGGCGTCCGTCTGAGCTTCTCTAAAACCAGAAAGACGTTTCTGTCCCGACTCAATTCGGCGGGGATCTTCGAGTGCATGACATTCCCTTCAAATATCATCTCCTTGCTGATTCGCCATTCCTAGACAGTCAACAGTCTCGTTTCTCCCTCGTCTCGGCAGCGGCGTACTGCTTTCATTGTGAATACTTCGCGAAACGTTGCACTCACTTTCTGCAGCTAGTTAATTTACTATGCCTCCTACCCTCGCGGCAGGGTGCTCGTCCTCAGAGGAGCTCTCCTGTCGCCTTCTGCTTCTTTCAACTCCCGATCGTTTCGCGGCCGAAGTCTCCTCCAGTCACGCAAGCTTACGAGCGTGGAAATGAAGGTTTTGTGCTGATCTTCAAGAGCTACAGACACTTCGCCCTTTGTACATATCATGCATTGATGCTCAATAGCGCAAGCCTTTGTTTTCCAGCGGGCCGCAAGCGTACGAGTCGCCCCGAAACATGTTTCTCCGTATTCTTAAACGCTGCCCGGATTCCCTGTCGCGTGAGAGCTTCTCTCGCCTCTCCAGGTAAACTGTCGAGCGCAGAGCTGAAGGACCAGTGCAAAACGTTCTTCTTCGCGGAGTGGAGCTCAACCGCCTCGCATCAGAGACGCGTTTAAAGTCGGCACATTCTGCAACCCAAAGCTCTCCTTTTCACGCAAGCTGTCGAGCGTGGAGCTGATAACCCAGTGCAATTTGCTCATCTTCGCGGGCAGCGGTTCAACCGCCTTCACATCAGAGATGTCTCTTCATTTGATATTGCCCAGTCGCCTAGCCCTATCAAAATAAACAGAGCGGCAACGACGTAAAACGTTGAAATTATGTTGTAAACTTTGAGCTCTCCTTTTCAGGCACGCTGTTGAGCGTTGAACTGATGGACCAGTGCAAATCGTTCTTCTTCGCTAAACGACGATCACCTTGCTTCATGTTTTGACTTCCTTAAGTGTTGCTCATAAGCCTATACACCTACTTTAAGAGACTTCAATTTTCCTTTTCAGGCAAGCTGTCGAGCGTCGAATTGATGGACCAGTGCAAGACGTTCTTCTTCGCGGGCCACGAGACGACTGCCACGGCAATGGCCTGGTCGCTCGCGCTGCTCGCGCAGCATCCCGAGTGGCAGGACCGGGCCCGAGCCGAGATCCGTTCAGTTTGCGGCAAAAATGCGCCGGACTTGAGTATGCTCGCGGAACTGAAAGTGGTAAGATGGATTGCCCGCGGTTCGATCCGCGTATGTTTTGTTAGTTGTTTTTTTCCACTTCGAAAGAAAGCAGAAGGTGTTTGAGCTTGTTGGCCAAGCTTGTTGGCCGGAATCTACTGTTGTCGGGGGCGTACCCGGGCACGTGCCACGGTCTGATCTGCGTTCGGCAGAGCTCCGCCGGACTTGAGCACGCTGGCGAATTTGAAAGTGGTCGGTTGGATCGCCCACCGGGCTTTTCTGCATCGATGCATTCACTATGCGTTTTCTAGACATTTTTTTTTCTCTTAAACTTCTGGAGCCTGGAGCCCCTGCCGTGCTGCCGGCGCGCCAACCCGGGTTGGCAGAATGGGGCGTGTGACGAGATCCGAACGGTTTTCGGGAGACGGAAAGTCTTTCCGGCATGGCTGCATATTGCACAACGAAACCTTCCGAGACGCTTCATTTTTCTTGTCCCTTGGAGCTTTGCTCAAGTGCGTTGTCGCTCGTTAGAGCCTCTCCGATAAGCGTGCTCCTGAATCTTTGCAAATATCTCCTCCTTTCAACGGCTGCAATCACATATCTGTGTAGTCTCGGTACATCACTCGCTTTCTCGGTTCGAAGAAACGATTGAGACCGTTTGAGCATCATTAACGCCCAGACATCCTTTGCAAGCTGTCATTTCCTCCCGCAGGTGAACATAATCTTCTCCGAAACCCTGCGCCTCTTCCCGCCCCTCTTCCTCGCCTCCCGCCAAACCGTAACCCCCACCACACTCGACGGAGTCCACATCCCAAAAGACCCCAACCTAGTTGTCGTTCTTCCGGTGGTCAATTACCACCGGGATCCGGCCGTCTGGGGCGACGACGCTGCGGAATTCCGGCCGGAGCGCTTTGCCGACGGTGTGAACAAGGCGGGTGTTAATGAGGACGAGCTCGCGGCCGCGCGCGCGTACATGCCGTTCACGGCTGGGCCGCGCACGTGCATCGGGCAGGGGTTTGCGCTGCAGGAGGGAAAGCTGGTGCTCGCGACGTTGCTGCAAAACTTCTCGTTCTCGTTTGCGCCGGGGTATAAGCACTCAGTAAACGTAGGCGTGACGCTTACGCCGAAGTACGGTGTGCCAATGATAGTGGAGCGGGTCTGATCAGCAGCTTGACTTTGATCTTGCTGAATATAGGAGCAGCGGTTGTTGCACCAGCTAGCGCCGTTTATAACATTACCACACGTAAAGACGGTGGGCCCGGAGTTGCTGGGCATTCGAGACTCGAGACACCTTTCCACGTAAACGCCTTTTAAGAAAACGTGTGTTGAGCCAATCAATGTGGTTACTAGACCAATGGGTACGACATGTTGTAAAAGAGAACATCTAGAAATTAATCATTTCTGTATAAACATCGTCAGAATTTTGAAGCCTGAATATGGTCCTAGAGGTCAGCCAGAGTCCAGTTATTGACGCCAGCTGAAGCTTAATAAACGTGCTTGGAGAAGACTACTTTGCATGCTGATCATCCAATTGCAAGGCTAGGGTCGCAGAGTTTGAGTTTATTCAAACTATGGCATGCAGTATGGGCGGTGCCAGGCCTGCTGAGAGTATAGCAGATTACCAGCCGGGCTGCCGGTGTAGATTGAGGGAAGTTGTGCGTCACAGTTGAAAGGTCCAACCTGGCAGGCGTACTAAAGTATCAATGTGGTGTGCATGATATCAACGTTCATCAGCGCATGGGGTCCGCTGCAGCTTGCAGCCATGCCCCAGCCATGCCGCCTTAAGCATGTACTTCTACATATGCCAGCAAGAATTGCACGGCCAGACCTGCCAATTCTTGGCTATCGAGGGATATGCATTAAGCATGTGAACGCACCCTGCTAAGTGTATGTCATGCCAGGCATGCGCAATTAAGGTTATAAACGAACCGTTCAACCAACTTGGCAAATCAGAAATGAAGGAGACCTGACAATGGCAGTTCGAAGTAGTCAGCAGTTGCCTGAGACTCAAAGTGCCATGGTGGCCTCATGCTTGCAGTATACTTGAAATCGTGAGTCAACATGAAAGACGTTAAGACTAGAGGCTTCGGGTTGGTCCACCTCCATCCTGAAACTTTATGGGGAGCTCACTGAGGCATGCATGTTACAAAAGGACAATCAATCATCGTAGCATTGCAGTATTGCAATACGCGAATGGCAGACTCAGAGCCGTATGATATGATGATGCGGGCCGTTCTTCAGCTTGCAGATTGCCAAATGCTCAATTCAAGATCACCATTGACGGTCGGCTAGTAACTAATTCAATTTGTCATGGGTTAACCAGAGTTGGCTGGACAAACTTCAATTCCTCCCCCAATCAAATACCTTCAAACAAGTAGGCTCCAACCATGCAATCGTTGGGCCAGTTGACGACAATATTCAAGCTAGGGTACCTTTTCTGCAAGTTCAGAAGCATCCTAACAAGTGCATCAACCTTCCTCCCTTGGTTTACCATTCTTAGATCGATCTGGAGGCTCTCTAGCCTTGGAGCTACACTGAGCAGCTCAAAGAAGTACTCGAACTTCCCATCTAGTCTCTCGAAACCTAATGCTAGTCTCTTCAAATGGTTCAGAGGTTCATGGAAGGATGCTACTTCTTCCTCATGAAGCAGCCAATGGGGCATGTCAGAAGGAAGTTCCAACCCCTCAAGTTGCACAAAAGGGGTCAAAAGATGTGAAAGCTTCACTTCAAGCCTACAGGCGGAGGCTTGCCCTAACCTCACATGCCTTGCATTCCCGCACACCCTAAGCAGATCCAACAGCTGCTCATAAGCCCCAACCCATTCCTCCACGTCAAGCATGACGACCTCCCAAGGCACTTCCTGCACAACGTTCCCCACATTCAACAGCACAAGCTTGCTCAGCATCGGAGCAGCCACAAGAATATCGTAAACAGAAGTGACTTCTAGGTGCAGTAGCCTTCTTGCTTCTATCCTAGAGCTCTCAAGAGCATAAGCGCAGGGGTCAATTCTGAGCACTACGCTTCTCAAGGTGTCTGACAATATTGTAGGGCTGGTAAGACCTGAGATTCTGTCCAGATTGAGTACTTCAAGACATGGACACTGCTTGATGATGCTTTCGAGGCACGCGTCTTCAACCAGGGCTTGCGTCAGAGACAGCTCAATCAAGGAGTTGAAATGATGCCTGGCTGACAGCGGCTCAGTAAGCTGGGCGTACGACTCTGTAAACTTGAATGTTTTCAGCCGAGGGCACATAGACAAGGTCCTTAGTAACTCTGGCGTCATCCCCTCCCAGGACAGCGAGCAGCCGACCGTTTCAAAGTGCTCCAAATTTGCACATGCTCCTGAAATTGCGAGAAACATGGTGTCCGGGATGGGGTGCTTCATCAGCGACTTGGGACTGGTCAGACGGAGGGACTTCAACCTGTGACTTCTCTGGAGAAACCGCAGAGCGTTCATGTCTGTTATCTTGGCCCTGTCAAGCCGGCAAGTGATGCTATCTGCTTGATAAGCAACCCTGTCGAAGCGAGAGCACACGGTCCTCACTTTGCAAAGCTCTTCTAGTAGAGCAGACGGCTCCGCGGCTGAGGGATCCTTTGCTGCCAGGACAAGTATGCGAACTAGAATCTCGTCTGGCACAGCGTCGAAGAAACTTAATGGCCCCATGGTTTCACCTACCAAGAGGAAAACGCCCGCCTCAGCTGGTGACGGAAATGCTGCTGGCTGCACACAAATTAATGTGCGCCCCTCCTTCTTGCTTCCTTGTCTTGAAGGTATCTAGAGAAACTATCGTCTGAAAGCAGGGTGAAGCACGAAGGGCATGCGTTGGTGGAATTCCGCTTGGAGCAGCCTGAGGAAGACGACGAACCCAGAATCCTAATCTGACGCGTACTCTCAAGCTTACAACCTTGACTTGTGAAGTTGCTACTACAGGGAGAAGCTGTATGCTAGCTAGGCAGCTGAGCCTGAGGCGGTGGCGTTGCGTTTTCTTGCACGTTTGGTGCCGTCCCCTGAGCTCGATGGATCCGGGACTGAATCTGTTCAGCAAGCCAAATGAAGTTCGGTGTTAAACTTGGGCGAATCACAGCGCGCCACGTCATACCCCCCAGAGCCTAAAGGTGTGATAATGTCGGGAGGGTCGAACCAGGGGTCGAAAACCTGAGGTGGGGGCCGGGAACGGACCCAAGTGGTCCCAACCCGATCACCGGGCACTCGGGCACCCTGAGTAGGTTACTTTAGAGAGGATTTTGCTTCTCCAGAAAGTCAATTACAAAATTGCATCTTTTTCAGGTATGGCCTCATATACATACATATTGGCAATTGGGTCGGATGAGCGAAACTCTGTACTACTAATCTGTTATATTCTCTTCTCCAGAAAGTCAATTACAATATTGCATCTTTTTCAGGTATGGCCTTACATACATACATATCGCCAAATGGGAACCAAAGGGAAAACTCTGTACTGCTAATCTGTTATGATT